CTCGAGTTCATATCGACCAAGATTCAGTCGGTATTCAGCTCGGTGTAGAGGATGAGAAAAATCCAAAAATATATCGACCAGCTACACCGAGTGAAATGAGGTCGGTGTCTCAGAATTCTATACAAGGGGCCAAATTTCTAACCCACACCAAGGTATATTCAGTCGGTGTGCAAGCTCGGTGTTTGGAGGTCCAAATTGCCAAAGAAATATTGACCTCCCACACCGAGCAAAATGAGGTTGGTGTGAACATGACGGCCAAAGAGGAAATGGGTTCTCAAGAGGGTTCTGAGATGGTTCAGAGGCAAAGCAACAATGCTGAGGGTGAATCACAAGGAGAACAGCTACAACAAGCCTCTCAAACAGCTTGGGAAAGAGATTGGGATGCAAACAAAGCACCTCAAGTGGACTTCAAACCTCTTCCCAAGGGGCTCAGGTATGCTTTCTTAGGTCTCAATGAGTCTTATCCTGTGATTATCAATGATAAGCTGTTAGAGGACCAAAAGCATAGGCTATTAGAAGAGTTGAGGAAACATAGGAGAGCCATTGGCTACTCTTTGGATGATATAAATGGTATCTCACACTCCCTATGCACTCATAGGATTCACCTAGAAGAGGAATCTATGTCATCCATTGAGCACCAAAGGCGTCTCAATCCCAACTTAAAAGAGGTAGTGAAGAAAGAGATTCTCAAACTCCTAGAGGTTGGGATAATTTATCCAATCTCAGACTCTATATGGGTTTCACCAGTACATATGGTGCCCAAAAATGGGGGAATGACAGTAATAAAGAATGAGAAGGCTGGGCTGATTGCTAATAGGATTATAACTGGACACAGGATGTGTATAGATTATAGAAAGCTCAATGCAGCCTCTAGGAAAGACCATTTTCCTTTGCCTTTTATTGACCAAATGATAGAGAGGCTTGCAAACCATCCCTTCTTTTGTTTTCTAGATGGTTACTCTGGATTCTTTCAAATCCCCATAGATCAAAGAGACCAAGAGAAGACCACATTCACCTGTCCCTATGGGACATTTGCTTATAGGCGCATGCCATTTGGGCTGTGCAATGCTCCTGCTACTTTCCAGCGTTGTATGATGTCTATTTTTTCGGATCTGATTGAGGAGAAAGTAGAGGTCTTCATGGATGACTTCTCAGTCTATGGACACTCTTTCTCCTCTTGTTTGTCTAATCTTTCTCAGGTCCTGGATAGATGTGAGGAGCACCGCTTGGTGTTATATTGGGAAAAATTGTCACTTCATGGTCCAAGAGGGAATAGTGTTGGGGCACAAGGTCTCAGAAGTTGGAATAGAAGTGGACAGAGCAAAGGTGGAAGTGATGGTGAATCTGCAAGCCCGAAATTCAGTCAAGGGAATAAGAAGCTTTCTTGGGCATGCAGGGTTCTACAGGAGGTTCATCAAAGACTTCTCAAGAATAGCTAGGCCTTTGACAAGGCTGTTGTGCAAAGAGGTTGAATTTGTCTTTGATGCTGAGTGTGAGGAAGCTTTCAAGAAGATCAAGGAGGCATTGATCAGTGCACCAATTGTCCTGGCCCCTGATTGGTCATTGCCCTTTGAAGTGATGACAGATGCTTCAGACTATGCAGTTGGAGCTGTGCTTGGCCAGAGGAATGACAGAAAAGTTCATGTGATCTACTATGCCAGTAGAACCCTTGATTCTGCTCAAGAAAAGTATGCAACCACAGAAAAGGAAATGCTGGCAATAGTTTTTGCATTTGATAAATTCAGAAGCTACCTGGTGGGATCAAAATTCATTGTGTACACTGATCATGCAGCCCTCAGATATCTCATGACTAAGAAAGACGCCAAGCCTAGACTCTTTAGGTGGGTTCTTATCCTGAAAAAATTTGATATGGAAGTGCAGGAGAAGAAGGGCATTGAAAATGGAGCTGCAGATCATCTTTCTAGGCTGAGAGTGGAATCAGATGTCCGTCTAGATGACTCACTTCCTGAAGAGCATCTATTGGTTGTTAGGTCTTACTTAGAGGTGGATCAGGCTGATGCTATAAGAGAGAGGAGTTTACCTTGGTTTGCAGACATTGTTAATTATCTCTCTTGTGGTGTAGAGCCACCTGAACTAGATGCCTACAAGAGAAAGAGATTCTTCAAAGAAGTGCAAAGGTATCATTGGGATGAACCTTATTTGTGTGTGCTGAACAAAGACCACCTATATAGGAGATGCTTAGCTGAGGAAGAGATGCAACCAGTGCTACAGGAATGTCATGGCTCAGCTTATGGGGGTCACTTAGGAACTTTCAAGACAGTGGCCAAGGTGTTACAATGTGGGTTCTGGTGGCCTACAATGTTCAGAGATGCTCAGGTGGTTGTATCAAGCTGTGATTAGTGCGAGAGACAAAGCAACATCTCCAAGAGAAGTGAGATGCCCCAAAATCCCATCTTGGAGGTGGAACTTTTTGATTGCTGGGGTATTGACTTCATGGGTCCTTTTGTGAGCTCCTATGGGAATCAGTACATACTTGTTGCTGTGGATTATGTGTCCAAATGGGTTGAGGCTGTTACTTCCCCAACCAATGACTCAAAAGTAGTGGTCAAGCTTTTTAAAAGCACCATCTTCCCAAGGTTTGGGGTTCCTAGAGTGTTGATAAGTGATGGAGGTTCTCATTTTGTGAACAAGACTCTAGAGAGACTGCTAAGGAAGCATGGTGTCAAGCACAAGATAGCTAGTCCATACCACCCTCAGACCAGTGGCCAAGTAGAGGTTTCAAACAGACAGATCAAGGCCATCTTAGAAAGGACAGTGAGCAATTCAAGAAAAGACTGGAGCAAGAAGTTGGATGATGTTCTCTGGGCCTATAGGACTGCTTACAAGACTCCCATTGGAACATCACCTTTCAATCTGTTGTATGGGAAGAGCTGTCATCTACTAGTGGAGCTTGAGTACAAGACTCTCTGGGCTGTTAAAATGTTGAACTTTGATATTAAGACAGCCCAAGAGAAGAGGCTACTCCAGTTTCATGAACTTGAAGAGATCAGACTCAATGCCTTTGAAAGTGCAAGGATATACAAGGAGAATACAAAGATCTTGCATGATCAGAAAATTCTCAAGAGGGAGTTTAAGGTAGGAGATCTGGTTCTTTTATTCAACTCAAGGCTCAAGCTCTTTCCTGGTAAGCTAAGATCAAGATGGTCAGGACCATTCAGGGTTTTAGAAGTTAGAAGCTCTGGGGCATTGGTCTTGGAGGGAAAAGATGGAAAGGATTTTGTGGTAAATGGACAAAGGGTCAAACACTATATTGTTTCTGAGAAAAGAGAGGAGGCTTCTACAGTTCCTCTTGATGATCCACCAGCCTGTTGAACAGGTTTTCAAAGTCAAACTTAGAGACATTAAACAAAGTGCTCTTGGGAGACACCCCAAGCTTATCCTTGTATATAGTTTCTTTTCTTGCTTTCTTTGGTCGTTTTTAGGATGTTTAAATCTTTTGTTCAAGTGTGTACAGGTTTTAGAAAGGTCCAGGTGCAGTTTTGAAAGGATTTGGAGAAGATAAAAGATGAAAAATCGGCTGAGGAATGCATTCATATCGACATGGTTCCCCTTGGTGTATTTTCTTGGTGTAACAGGTTCAAAAAGCCGTGAAAATATCGGCCAGTTACACCAAGCAAGTAGAGGTCGGTGTGGAACACAAGATGGCAAAGGATGTCTCACACCAAGGTGATTTCACTTGGTGCATTTGCTCGGTGAAAACAGGTTCAAAAAGCCGCGAAAATATCAACCAGGTACACCGAGCAAATGGAGGTCGGTGCAGTGCAGGAAGGAGCTGGGTCTTGTCTCACACCGAGGTGATTCTGCCTGGTGCAAGAACTTGGTATAGAAAGGGAAGAAATTTAAGAGCACACCGACCTCCCACACTGAGCAAAATCAAGTCGATATGACCATGGTGCAGTCTGTTGTCCAGTGGTCCAAAGGGTGGCTCAGTGAAAGTCAAAGATTCCAGCCACTTCCAGCAGTTTCCCACGACAGTAAAGAGACCCTCCAGCCCTGGTCCACACACAGAAAATCGGTTTTCTCTTTCTTTCCTCCACTTTTGCGAAGAAACACCGTTGTTGCTCTCAAAAAGTTTGATTTCTTGCTTGTTAATCGATTTTCCTGGAGATTTCTTTGCCCCATTTCGATTTCTTGCACCAGTTAACCCAGCTCCAAGGTACATTTTGCTTAAATTGCTTCTCAGGGTCAAACACCCTAAATCGCTATTCTTCTTGATTTTTCTTGAAGAAATATTTGTGGAATTGAGAATGCACTGCTTGAAACTGAGTTAGAACCTTGGAGTTTAGGTTGTGGGTAGCTAGAAATGAGCTCACTTGTGCCCAATTGTTTCTTGAATCCTGATTTTAGACTCTCTTTAGAACTTGTTGTTCTTGAGCTGAAATTTGGATTTTAGAAAATTATTTTGAAGTGAGAATCTCTTGATGCTGCTTGGGAATGCTTAATGTGATTTTGCTTGAATTTTTTTCATTGATTTCATTACAATCAAAAATTATTTTGGAAATTTCAAGGAATTATTTCTCTAGAAACTCATTGTTTGTTTGAGAAATTGTTGAAACAGGTACCATGGCAAGAGGAAACCCTGTTTTGATGCCCAAAGTACCAAGGCGAGACAATGGCAGGGCAGTTGCTTCTGGTTCAGGGGAAAGATCCCAAGGGGTTGCTGCTGGTTCTAAAAACAAAGGGAAAGCAGCGGCTTTAAGAGCTTCAAAGAAACAGAAAAGACTTGAGAGGAGCCCAAGTGTAGAATCTAGTGAGGAAGACATCAATGTGGGTTCACCAGCTGTTGTGCCACAAAAGAAAAAGAAGGTGGCGAAGAAGCCCAAGCCAAAACCTCCAGCTTACTCAGATTATCTCAGAAAACTCCAAGCTTGGCACATGAAGGAACCTACTTCCCTGATCTTGAACTCTTGGGGAAACTTGGTATTCTTGAAGATGTAAAGGCAGTGCTTCAATCCATTGGACTTGGGAGCTTAATAGAAACGCCTCACCCTTCCTACAAAGAGATGACTTGCAAATTTCTTGCATCACTACAGGCTGATTTCTATAGAGAGATTGGACCAGCTCAGCTTGAAGATGGTTTTGGAACCATTGCATTCAAAATTGGACAGGAGCGGTATGAGATGACCTTTAGGGATATAAGTGAATGCTTTGGATTCACTGTTGAGGGAAGGACGTGTGCAAAGAGGTTGATCTACTATGGAACCGACCTGGATCAGCTATGGTGGGCAATAGGAAGTGGCGATTATTCAGCTGGTGTAACAAAGGCGGCTTGTATCAGAAGTCCAGTGCTCATGATGGTGCACAAGATCATAGCTCACACCTTTTTTGGAAAGACAGAGTACTCAACAGTGTATGATGAGGAGTTGATGCTCATTGGAGAAGGTCTTAAACCCTTGATGCCTAAGTTCAGCAGTGGCATGACATTTAACGGTGACCCTCACAAACCAACAATGGCTGCCCTTTTAGTCAAGAAACTTCTCTCAATTAGGAAAAGTGCTCATGACACAAAAATCAAGGCACCCTCCATGCGCTTAGGAGGCCTGATCACTCCTATTTTACTGAGAGCTGGAGTTCAAATGAATGATAAACCAATCAGTTTTAAGTTGATGGATGCACTTCATTTGGCCAAGACTACATTTCTTGAAGGTTCTGTGGGTGATTCTTTTGCCTATAACCTCAGCATTGATAAGAAGGTGAAAGTAAGAGTGTTGCTGCCTAATACTTCCCTCACTTCACTCTCTGAGCAAAGAAACATCAGGTTCCATGTCACCAAGGATCAGCACTACAACCCAGAGATCAACCCTCCCATTAAAACAATCAGGAAGTTGGGGAAGCTGAAAGCACCTGTTACTGATGCTGATGGAGACCAGGAACCGGTTCAGGAGGAGCCCTTGTTGCCAGACCCAGTGTATGGGAGTCATAGATACTTCTTTGACTCCTATGATGGTCAGATGCCCAATGAAGCCACTGTTGCTGCTCATTACCGAACCAAAAGCCTTCAGAGGTGGAACAAGTGGCAAGAAAATAACACTAAGAAGCTGGTGGAGACAGTGAAGATGTTGGGAAGCACGGTCAAGAGCATGAGAGCCAAGATTAAGAAGCTGAGTGCCAAGCTTGAGAAGTTCCAAAGAGGAGAAGTTGGTGAAAGCTCACACAATGGCGAGATGCTTAGGATCTGCGGACCAGAGGATCATTCATCACCAGAGTCAGAGGAGGACGAGATCAGAGCCAAGAGGGACGCCATGAGATCTCCCTCACACCAATCCAGCAATCCCTCCTACTCCATGGGGTCTCCACCCCCATCTCTAAGTCCATGAGAAGGTAACACTCCATCCTTGTAAATATGCATCTAGCTTAGCTTATTTTCTCTTTGCATTTTGTGATTTTGCTTTGCACTTCTCCTTCATGCTTTTATAACACAAGGGACTGTGTTATCTAAGTGTGGAGGAGGGGTTTTGTGTTTACTAATCATGTTTGTTCTGCTCTTATTTTCCTTTTCACTTTGAGTGTCATTTTGCATTCATCTAAGTGCATATAAAAACCAAAAAAATTGAAAAATCTGAAAAAATTTCACAAAAAAATGCTCATGTAATTGCATTCACATTTTAGGTTGAGTCTAGTTTGCATTTTCATATAAGTAGCATCATATGCAAATGGGAGTAATGATAGTTTTTTTCTTGAAGAGAGCATCATTTTAAGAGTTTGGTTCTTTAAAGCATTGCAAAACTGGTATGAAATCAAGTGTGAAGCAGGTGTCTCAATACTTCTGTGCTAGCTGAATCAAGTTGTGAATAGCCTCAACCTTGCTTAAGTAAAAACCCTTAAATTTGACATCTAATTATCATGTTTGTGCACATCATTATGAATTCATGGGTACCACATACATATTTGAGCTTTCTTATCCCTTTTAATCACTCTTGCTAGCTCAAATAGCTGATCTCTCATCTTGAGACAGTTCTCTGCCTTTAGCCAAACCTTTCTTTGAAGCCTAAACACCTTTCTTGTGTGCATGATTTGTGAGGCTTTGTTTCTAGTAGACTTGGTAAAAAAGTGTTGGGTTTAGAGCGACAAAGATAGTGCTGCATGTACACACTAGTCCAACATCAAGGGCTAGTCTAGGTTTAGGTGAAAGTGAGAGCATTGGTTTTGAGTGTGTGAGCTGAAAAGAAAAATATATGAGTGATGAAAGTGGAAAGAACCGGATTGGTTAGGGGAATGAATGCTTAAATGAAAGAAAGTGAGTATGTGCTGAAATGTAAAGCTCATGGGTTGAAATGAAAAGAGTCTCATGAAAAGAAAAAAAAAAAAGAAAAGATTCAAAAAGAGGCTGGATTAAGGAAGAGCTTGTGTGTTAAAGAAAAGAAACTCACTAAGTGGTTGTTAAAGAAAGCATTCCCCTAAGAGATGAAATGAAGAGAGTAATGTGAGCTGATTGAGTGTCAAAGAAAAAATGCCATTTGGGATGAGTAGACTAGAGGAAGAGTCTTGAGAGGTTTAAAGTTGAGTGTGAAAAGCATTTTGGGTGTGGGGTAGATGCAGTTCTATCTTTGTATGCATCCATTGCTTTTTACCCTTAGCATTTTACTAAAGTCTACTAATTTTTGAGTGATCCCCTTTCATGGAATACCAGTTACTTGATTGAGATCATTTTAATCTCATAACCCAGTCCCAAGCCAAATGAGAATTCACTTGATTTGCATGAACATGATCCACTTGAAACTTTAAATGAATGTCAAAAGGTTGAGGTTAGGAATGCTTGTGAAGGTTGGTGCTTCATTTTGGTTCATTTGGTGACAATTATGGCTAATTTTTATGAGTAAACCAGTTTGCATTGCAGTCTAGAATGGGTAACTTGATCAATGAGCTTTGAATTGTTTTAATGATCATCTCTCTTTAAAGAAATATGAACTCCCATGCATTCAACCTCTCTCTCTCATTTGTTCTTGTTTGCCTGAGGACAAGCAAAGTACAAGTGTGAGGGAGTTGATATAATCATATTTTTTCATGTTTAGGATTGCATTTTTGTCCAAATATTGAGTCTCATGCATATATTTAGCTAGTTTTATTAGAGTTTGTCTTTGGTTCTAGCTTTGTTTAAGAATTTCATTAGGTCCTAGAGTGTCCTGTATTTTTGGAGTATTATCAGATCATTTGGAGACTTTTGGGAGCAACTTGGAGCTGGGATCATGGAGGAACCCTCACCTGTGTACAGCAACTCGGACAGATGGTTTGGTGCCGACGAGACCTCTACTTTGATCGCACGAAGGACTTGCAATGCGATTCAACCTCCGGTGTCTTCATCAAGAATAAATAGGAATGAGTCTAGTTTCCGGAACACTTAAAATCAGACGATTTGGAGCCGTGAACTGGGAGATATCGCCATCGGAAGAAACACATGTCTCGCGGCCCGATTAGGACTTACGCGATGCGCCTCAACGAACTGATGAGACGGGGGCTTTGCCGATGTCATACGGGGTCGAGCCCTTCACCAAACTTGGAGCTAAGGACGCAATCTGGTTCGTGGAGTTGGAAGATCGAGGTTCGGACCAGTGAGAAAGGAGTTATGAAGGATTTGGTGCAAGTGATCTACATTCATATCGAGAAGGAGTACCGACCAAAATCTGGTCTATATTACCTTGGAACCTTGACGTTTTTGGCTGGCTTTTGGAAGCCAAATTGCCGAAGAATTATCGACAAGCTGCACCGACTGAATCCTGCTCGGTATTGATCCCTTGAAGCTATCCTTAACGCCGCACCGAGGTGAGTTCAGCCGGTGTAGTGTCTCGGTGTAACCAGTCTCAAATTTCCGAAGAAATATCGACGTCCTGCACCGGCCAAAATCACCACGATACATTCTCGCTTCATGACATTTTTTTGGGCCTTTTTGGGGCCAAAACCTAGTTTTTCCTAGGTTGGCCCAGTAAGAAACCCTACCTATATATATATGTTTTAGGCATTATCCAGCAGACTAAGCTTTATTCTCTTTTTTTTCTTTGCCTCTTTTGTGAAAGACCTAAACTTTGTAAGAGAGATCTTCATTTTCTGGGTTTGAATCAAGAGAGTAATTAGGGTTTAAAGCTGAAATCCATCATTATCTATCATCTCCATCTTCATCTTCCGTCCCTTTGTGAGTTTTAATCAAGATAGATTGAGAGATTTCTGTGTTTAAAACTGCAAATCCATCATCATCCACCTTCTCCATCTCCATTTCTCATCATTAATCATGCCAATCTTCTCAACTTGCAAAGGTTTAAGACTGATTAGTATGATTAGTGAGTAGTTTACCTTAATGAGGTTTTAGATGTGTAGGTTAGGGTGCTAAAGTGTTAGATTAGGATTGCTTAGGGCTAGATTCATTGATTCATCTCTCTAAACAGCTGTTCTCTAGGCTAGATCCTTGCACATCACTTGTGATCTAGATTCTGGGAATTTCATGCACTACAAGTGTTTGATGAAATTCCTGAAAGAGCTGTATCAGAGGTTTAAGCATTTGCTACATGATGATGTCTTGTTATTTGCTTGAATGATCTTTTAGAACTGTTTCTTAATGCTCATTGATTCATATTTCATAAATGATTATTTGGTTTGAAAATCGATTAGTGTAGAGATTTATGCCTTCATGAGAGGATTAATCTAGATTGTAGTTCTAAATCATTTGAATCATGTCTCATCATTGTCATTAGCATTCCTGGTTTAGCACCAAAGTACCCTAGCCAACAATCATATCTAGAATCTCATGCTTCCATCATCTCATATTCACATCACTTGTCATTTGCTTAGTTCTTGTTTGATCATTTCTTTAGTTATTAATCTTGTTTTAAATTCTTAGTTGTCATTAATCAATCAAAACCTCACATATTTACTTGAATTGAGAAACTGATCACATAGCTTAGTGTCTATCACCACATTCTTGGATTGACAACCTCTTTTGTGCTACTTTGACAAGGGGATTGATAGCCCTAAGACCCAAAAAGTCTTGTCCATCACTCGTCAACATTCACGATTCACCCATAGGTAGGTTTCCACTCCTATGGTAGAATCGCTCTTCTCAAGCTAGAACTGGTACCGAATTAAAACTCTCGCAACACTAAGTGTCAAGATCAGTCTTTAGTTCGCCATGCTAAGATCCATGCTTTAAGTAAAAGCTTAGAAGAAAGATTTCTAGATTTCGTCTTGGTTTATCTCGCGAAGATCCCTACCGAGCATATTTGGTTCCCTTCGATGAAGCCTTTAAACTCATACCTCATTATTCAAAAACGTGCATAAAGTATTTAAAATAAAGAAGTAGAGAAAAAGAGACAAGAAGATGAAGAAGAACCATCTCGATTTCGAATCTTGGGTCGGAGAAAACTTCTCTTCAAATCCTTTAAACAACTAATCTAATATGATAAGGTAAAATCAAAATTGAAAGACATAAAAGTAAAAGCTGAACTTAATCATTGCATAAAGGAAAGATAGAACATAGAGAGGGTTCAAGAGAAATCTTTATCTCCCTAAACTAAGAACTAAGAACATAAAAACATAAAAACCCTAGAAAAACTAAATTTGATGACTCCCAAAAGGGATTCTTATGAGGCACACAAAAATAGGTCTGCTTAGATACATATTTATAGGTCTTCAACTCTGTCCAGTCGTCCTTAGGGTTTTGTTTGAAGAAAAGACGAATTGGGCTTGAAACGGGGTCTTGGGCCTGCCTTTTAGTCGGCCCTGGTCGTGAGGCTTCCATCCGTAGTGAATAGGGGTTTGGCTGCGACCAGAGATTCCTAACTGTGGCCAAGCGTGTGTTCTCCGCGGTCATGGCCCCTGGACCCGCGGAGATTTGCTTATAAAGTTGAATCTTCATTGTGCGCTTGCTTCCTTCGCAAGACTGAAAAACATGTCTTCAGTGCATCAAGGATCTCTGGAGATCTAACCATTGGATTGTCTCCAAACCAATTGAATTTGAAAGCTAGTTGTCTCCTTTATATTAAGCCTAATTTTGGGGATTATCGGACGGTGAGAAAGTCCTCATCGGATGTGAAACTTCTGACGGTCTGAATTTATCCAAAATGATATTTCGCTCCAAAATGTACTCATTTTGCTTCAATTACCTGAAAAGGGTCTTGGATTTTCAAATACTAGAAAACTATACTTAAAACACTTAAAATTAAAAAAAATAAAAAACATTTGAAAAGCATTTAAAGTCGATCCATAAAAGTTGTCAAATATGGTGTTATCAATTCCTCCATACTTAAAGCTTTGTTTGTCCTCAAACAAAGCAAGATATAAGCCTAAAAAAAGCCTTTAACAGAAATCACAGAGAACTCAAAATTCTCAGAAACCATACTCCTAGACCATAATCAATCATAATGCATCTATTAGGTGTAGCTTAGAAAATTCTCACCAAAATACAAGTATAACTAGTCCGTTGATCCGTCATAAGAAAATCTACACACTTAGACCTAATTTCCAGTCAATTAGCTCTTAACATTCATTAAAAATTTCAGTGGTTCTCATCAAAAGAAAAATAAACAAGGCAATTAAGGCTAAGTTTTCAAAGGGCTTTTTAGGGGTGAGGTTTAAAGTTTTTAGGGTTAGCTTAATTTCTGAAGAAGCAAGATATTATGCAAAACAGCAAGAGAAGATGGAGTTATTGATGTCCACAGTTTCCGGTCATGTTCTTCAGGTTCTCCTTAGAATTCCCCCTGACTTAGATTTTTGTCTAGGTTATTATATCTCCCATAAATAAATATTTGTTGCCTTGGCTCCAAATAATTTTGACAATCTAAGACTCTTTAGGTTTTTGTTTCCTTTCCTCTTTATTCTTTTTATTTATTTTTAAAAAAAAATTTTAAAAAATGGGAAACACATTTAGATAAAGTCTTAGAGATGCACGAAAATTACCATTAAGAATGAGCTTTCTGAGGCGGCTCAAGATTGCTGATACTCTTCCTTCCTGATTTCATTCAGTCATTCTTTTGAGTGACTGAAAACTGTGTCATTCCTATCTCTCCGGCGTTTTTGCACATACCTGCTGATATAAGCTAAAGAGAAAATACATGAGTTTCGAAAATAAAGGTTTGGGTTGAGGGTATGATACCAGTTAAAGATGAATTGGCCATCTAGGACAACAAAGGGTGGTAAAAAAGAGGAAAAAGATGTCCTAGATATATAACATGATGTCTACCTAAAATTCAATGATGAGAAAATTAAATATCAATATTAACTCCAAATAAAATGAGCTAGTATATTCTGTCAGAAAGAATCTCCATAAATAGAAGTCCTCTGGTGGGAGTTCGTATTGCAAGTACTCTAGCTACCTTCTAGTCTAGTACTAACAACAAAAAGAGCTGTCATGCATAGTGTAGAAGCATAGAGGTTGTTAATCATCATATATTTTTGTCATCATTCCCTCAAAACATATTTATACTTTGAAAACACTTTGAAAAATTGATTTTTTTTTTAATTTTTTTTAAAACAAAAATGTATAATGCAAAGACTCATGAAAGAAAGGTGGTTAGAAAGGGATGAAATCCTCCCCCAGACTTAAATCACACTTTGCCAAGCTGTGAGATAAATCAGAGTGTGGATGAGAAATAGAGTATGTAATGAATTGAAAACATAAAGAAAAAGAGAACTTACCTGAATGTCTCGGTAATGGTATGGTGGTGTGGTGATGGTAGAGGATGGTGGAAAGTCAAAGGTGGAAAGGGGAATGGATGGTAGTCGTCATGCCATTGATCTGGGACAAGAAAATTCATTGTGGGTCAAGCTGATATGACCGCGGGTCGAACAGGTATGACCGCAGGTCGAGCTGGTACGACCGCAGGTCAAGCAGGCACGACCGCGGGTCGAGAAGACATGACCGCGGGTCCACCAGGCATGACCGCAGGTCGGACACCTCTTTTTTTTGGTAAGATTCAACCTGAAACTAAGAAAAACAAAAAACAAAAAATTAGTGAGAAAAAGTTATCTTAGAGTCGATTTATTAACCTCTGAGATTGTGCAGGTGAAGACGATTGGATTCTCCAGCAGCGGCGCCAAAAACTTGATGCTGCCTAAGATTTACTTTGCGGCTTCATCTTTTAAATTTATAACCATAGTATTCTGCAAGTGCACAACAGTGCGTTGTAGTACTTAGGGTATCGATCAACAGAGAATCCACGTTTTACCTGCATAACCATAGAACCAGATTTAGTAAACGAAGTCTAAGACAAAAAATGGGGTTTTAGATAGGTTGTTACGATTTATATATATGCATGTTTAAAAGGGTTTTAAAACTAAACAATAATTGAATAAATCGTTGTTTAATATAAAGGATATCTATGGGATATGGTCGATTGAAATCGCATAAAACAAAACTCTTATAATTGATCCTAGTCAATTCTTAGAACTCGAGCCATGATGGTATGACTACGCAACTCTCATGGTCATAAGCAATTGTCTCTCGCAAGCCTGACCAGTAGGTTTGCACTCTGGCCCTGGAAGGGAGAAGACGTAGGAACTTGCACAAGACTCGTCAACATTCACGATTCACTCATAGGTAGGTTTCCACTCCTATGGTAGAATCGCTCTTCTCAAGCTAGATATGGTACCGAATTAATACTCTCACAACATTAAGTGCCAAGATCAGTCTCTAGTTCGCGACGCTAGATCCATGCTTTAAGTAAAAGCTTAGAAGAAAGATTTCTAGAATTCGGCTTGGTTTATCTCGCGAAGATCCCTACCGAGCATATTAGGTTCCCTTCGATGGAGCCTTTATATTCATACTTCATTATTCAAAAACGTGCATAAAGTATTTAAAAGAAAGAAGTAGAGAAAAAGAGACAAGGAGATGAAGAAGAAGCATCTCGATTTTGAGATCTAGGCTCGGAGAAGACTTCTCTTCAAATCCTTTAAACAACTAATCTAATTTGAGAAGGTAAAATCAAAACTAAAAGACATAAAAGTAAAATTTGAACTTAAAATATTGCATAAAGGAAAGATAGAACATAAAGAGGGTTCAAGAGAAATCTCTATCTCCCTAAACTAAGAACTAAGAACATAAAAACATAAAATCCTAGAAAAACTAAATTTGGTGGCTCCCAAAAGGGATTCTTCTGAGGCACACTAAAATAGGTCTGCTTAGATACATATTTATAAGTCCTCAACTCTGTCAAGTCGTCAGTAGGGTTTTGTTTGAAGAAAAGACGAATTTGGCTTGAACGGGATCTTGGGCATGTCTTTTAGTCGGCCCTGGTCGTGAAGCTTCCACACGTGCTGAATAGGGGTTTAGTCGCGGCCAGAGATTCCTAACCGTGGCCAAGAGTGTGTTCTTCGCGGTCGTGGCCCCTGGACCCGTGGAGATTGGCTTATAAGGTTGAATCTTCATTCTGCATTTGCTTCCTTTGCGAGACTGTAAAACATGTCTTCAGTGCATCAAAGATATCTGGAGATCTAAACATTGGATCGTCTCCAAACCAATTGCATTTGAAATCTAGTTGTCTCCTTTATATTAAGTCCAATTTTGGAGATTATCGGATGGTGAGAATATCTTCATCGGATGTGAAACTTCTGACGCCTGAATTTATCCAAAATATATTACTTTTGTCTTAATTACCTGAAAAGAGTCTTGAAATTTCAAATACTAGAAAACTATACTTAAAATAATTAAAAGAAATATAAAAAAATTTGAAAAACATTTAAAGTCGACACATACCACCATTTTTCAAAACAAATCGTTTTGGTATTATTCAAATCGATTCCAACAAGAATTCGAGCCAAATTTAATCCTAAGTCGACGCACTACTAAACCTGGAACCAACTGAGAAAGAAAATTTTCTAAGTAAGAACACAGGCTCGATGTCAAAAAGAGTAAAGGCCCGCTTAAACAATTACTTCACGAACATTGAATCAAGGCCCAAGCCCAAAGTATTCGACCTAAAGCGAAGAAGCATTTCGCCTAAGTCCAAATTGAGGCCGGAACTCAAACAACTAAAGGCCCATTCAAGTGAGTCGTTTCTCAAAAGAAGTAATAATGAGTCCGTTAAAGTACAAATCCCCTAAAACGGATCCAAACTAACAAGCTGCTAAATAACTGTGAACTAAGGCTATAACTTATTCGCAGAAATCAGAAAAACAACTAAGTAAGAAAAGCAAAGTACTTAGAACTGAAAACAGATTAAAGCCCTCCCAGTCACCAATTCGAAACATAAAAAAGAAGTGGATTAAAGCCCTCTCGGGCACCATGTTTGAAAAACTTACAAGTCCCTGCAACAAAATAAAAGGAAATAACCCTCATGCCGCCGGTTTATCAGTCGCATCCCCTTGAGCCTCCTCATGCACTTCCCCTAGAACATTGCTCCCGAATTGGTTGAGCCCCATCGGGACGAGCGAGTTTGGATTAACATCCATCACCGCCACCAACGATTCTGAGATCGCGGGAAGAATGAGCTTGCTGAGGGAGAAGTCTGAGACCTGTGCATCCTAGAAGGCCGCCGTAAACTCCGCATCTAGAGCCTTTAATTTCACGAGCTCAGTGTTGGGTTGAACCTCCCCCTTTCGCCATACTCTCAAGCAACTCGATGTTGGCAAGCACCTCCTAGAGGTTGATCTCAGCGTTGGCCTCAAGTTTCTTCTTGTTGAACTTTTCCTTGATTGACAAAAAGATCTCTTGATACTGGTGATTGACCTCCCCGTTCCCAGCGTGGAGTTGGCAGTGCAGCTCGTTGTCCCAACCTTCTTTCAGCAAGCGGATCTCCTCGGACAACCGGGTCAATTGAGCCAGGGAAGAACGACTCTCCTCAGCAAGAGCCTTGTTTTGCTCTGAAAGCGTCTTCAACTTTCCCTGCAGCTCGAGCTCAGACGCCTCCAATGCCTTAAAGCGGGCCCGAGAGGACGAAATGTCGATGAACTGGTCAGACACTGCGGCCTCCCAGTCCTTCGACTCTTGGAGTTCTGCCCCGTCAGGTCCTGGACAACCTTCTTAGCAGCGTTAAGCTCGTCGCAGCGAGGCATGTCTTCGAACATCTGCTCGACGAACATCTAATCAATCAACACACGATCTGGTCAGTATAAAGAAAAATGAAACAATAATACAACCTCGAGCTCTAGATAACCCACGCGTTACCTTGAGGAGAAGGAGGTTGGACGAATTATTGAGGAACAATCGGTTGCTGAGGCGCACCAAGAGCTCGTAAAATCCTCCCCCGAGTGAAAAGAGGCTAGGACATCCTTTCTCGACGGAGAGCGGTGAGTACATTATCTGCTATCAGTGGAGTCGTTTCTGTAAACAATACCCAAACAAGGGTTAAAAACGCACTAAAAGAGCAAAACGGAACTCAACAAAAATGCGAAAATCGCCCAACCAGCGACCAACATCCATAGGCGAGGAAGGCGAGAAAAATCAAAATCAAACCGACGCGGCGTTGACCCTGAAAAGGAACGTCATGCCCTCCACTTGTCTCGCTGTGGGACGTCCACGAGGACCCGCCGGTTTTGCCTTGGAGAAAAATAGAAATTCCCCTCGAAGTTGGGATTCTTCTTAACCGAGCATAGAGCGATGATGTAATCCGAACAAAAAGGAATACCCTCTTCTCAAGCTCGAACAGATAGCCCGATAACGTATCTAACACAGTTCGGGCACATCTGAGAAATTATTTTCTCAGATCTGGAGCCGCTCTAGGTTTTTGTGAAGAAATCTTGGGATCATAAAAGTCAGACCGCACTCTTCGAAGTATGTGCAATATCCGCAGCACCACCCTGGTCTAACGGTTTCCGGCGATTCCATCACAGACGGAATCACCATCTCAACAACGGCAGGAAAGCCGTGAATCTCCCTGAGGTTCCGAAGGTCGGCCTCTGAAGTGGTACAAGGTATATGGGGACCGAATATCTCTTCGTCAACGTCCATCTCGAGAGGTCGAAGTCACAATTAGCAAAAAAGGTGAACAATCGAAAAATAGCTAGTACAAATCGAGATTGTTTCCCCAAAACCTAAAAAATGCCTTATGCTATAAAGCAAATCTAAAATCTAAAGATAAAAGGCATGAAAAGAGAAGTTACCTTGATTAGAGCGAGTGGAGCAGTTAAGGAAGAATGTGAAAGGTCGAGGTTAAATACTCGATTACGAGCAGTTGCCAGAATCCTCAAACGATTATGCTCTCTGAAAATCCGGTTCGTCGGATATCAATCATTTCGAATAAAAATCTTGAAAAAGAAGGAATCCGACGACGCTCACGGGGAAATGGGACGTTGCGATAAGATCTCCACCCTCTATTCAAAATTCAAAATCCTAGGAAAATATCACGAAAAGATTCGGGCTCATCTCAAAAAGTGTAAAAAAAGAGAGTGAAGAGTTAAAAAATTTACCGTCTTAATGGATTAATGGATTGGGAGGCAATTGTGAGAGCTGGATTTCTCACGGCTCGACCCACGAAGCACAGAAAAATATAATTTATTTAAATTATATTCATATATTCGAAGTTGAGACAGATAAATAATCAAACAAAATGCAGGATTAAACCCATCAAGTAATTTGCGGACCAACTAAATGTCACCTTGTACGTGGGACCTGGCGTGCTCCAAGCTCCGAAATATCCGGTCAAAGTCAAAGATATTCCACTAACAGCTCAGGGCAAAAACGGTGTAACAAGAAGTCATCTGGGATACGGGGTGGCAGTTCGAATCTCGAAGAGAAGTATGAAGAGAGCTCGAAACATACAAAGAAAACGACACTTCCCCTTCAGAAAAATCCTAGTATTACAGTTATCTTTTTGTACTTTTTCTCTTCGAGAAATCCTGTATTCATCTCTGATTAAATCAATACAAATCTAATTTCTTCAATACATTTCTATATTTGATTGATTCAAAGACAAGACTTGTCCATCGTTATTAATCCCTTCCCTAAACTATGTATAAGTTTATGAGTGTGGAATTTAGCAATCACAGTAATGGTAAGACACACTTAAATACAAAAGGTAATCATTAGTGGGTTATAAAGACTGCGCCATAGAAACCCAAATTTATTAGAGAAAAAAAAATAGACGACCTATATATTAAATCCAAGAGTTTTACTACACAAAGTTCCTCTGTTTCTCTCAATTTGCCATGGAGAATAAGCTAAACCCTAGTTCTCATGAGTGTCTCAGACAAGATACGTCCAATTCCTGATCGGATCTTCCTCAAGAACTTGTGAATTTGGTGTTTGAACATCTCGGCTTTGCTGATTTCAAACGAGCTAAGTCTGTCAGTTTGTCTTGGCACTCTGCTTCGAGACATTCCGTGCCCAAAATCAGATCCCTTGGTTGACTTTTTTCCCTAAAGACAAGGAAAACAGCTATTGCACGTTGTTCAATCCTGAGGAAAAAGAAAAACTTTACAGAACGAAAGCTTTGAGTTTGGAATTTGCAGAGAGTGTTTGTATGGCCACCTATGGAAGTTGGCTCTTGATGCAAGCTTCTTACTACGATCTCTACATTCTAAATCTATTTTCGCATGAGAGGATCAACCTACCTCCTGTTCAGTACAATTGAAGCAAACCAAAGATGATAAGTCTTGAATTACTAGTCACAAGTTGTTATAGCTATACGATTCCCTATGTTTTGGATTGGTGAGAAAACCAAAGATTATGTTGTTCTGTGGGGACTTGTGATATAATTTGGAGAAACCATAGTAGTAAAAGGTTTTTACAACTTTATTCATTAGCCAATAGGTTTATTTATACAAGATATCCGCAAATTATTTACATAAAGATATTAGGAAATCTCCCAAATTAGCATAAGGAAATATACACAAATATGTTAACTTTCCTAACTATAATATTTTCATAACTGAATCTCGATCTCGGTTCATAGTCTCCGTCAATCTCGGTCAATCTCTGTTCGGTTAGGTCGATTTCATTGATCACTCAATACCCCCAGAAATCTCATACGTGGTAACACGTGTAAGATTAGACAAGTCTTCAAAATAATGGTGTTATACCCGGCCGTCGGGTCAAAGCAGCTTCAACATCAAGCTGTATGGTTATCGACGTTTATACCCAGTCGTAGGGTCATCTTCAATGGAAAATACACCTTCGTAGTTATGTATCTCCAACATCTCATCACGATTGTATCTTCGTGGCCTCATCTTTTGTAGTTAAAGAAAAACCTCATGAAGATAATTCCTCGCAGTGGTGAAGGCAGCCTTTGTGGAGGTGGTCACTTGACCCAGGTGAAATGAAAAAAAAAAATGAAATGTTGCATTATAAATTATCCCATATAGACAAAGTGGTATAATTTAGAAGGAGGAATTACACAATAAATAAGAGATCATCTTTAAAATATTAATTTAGAAGTTGTGGATCTATCTTAAAACTAATATAATTTTGGAAAGAAGTTCCACACTAGTGTTTTTTTTTATAAAAGGAAGCTGCATATCCATAAGCAAAAAGAGAAGTTTCAAGTAATTCACATAAAAATTCTCTTTTATTTTTGAAAATCTCTTAAGATGTGGCTAAGTTGTTTGATTGTTTATTTTAAGCAATTTAAAATACAGATTTTTGTTTTGGTGTACATGTAGGTCGTAATTTCAAATATAATGGAACAGTTTCTGAAAAACAAAATCTCCACCATCTAATATAAATTCAACAAAGCGAAACATTTAAAAGTCAAACATAATGGAACAGTTTCTGAAAAGAAGATCTCCACCATCTAATATTGAATACGATTTCAAAATATGAATGAACGTAGAGTACAACATGTTTATCAATTATAAATTTTTTCTTTTTCTATTAAAACTATATAATTTTTCTATTATGATCCATATCAATAATTTTTTAATTTCTGCCTCCGCCATTGATTCCTCGAATAAGCAAAATCAAAATCTCAAGGTCAAAAACAAAAACCCTTTTAGGTTAATGTTTTAATAAGAAGAAATCAATCGTAGTACTTTCACAACTTCCATCACCAAGAAACTAGCAGGTGCTAGCTAATATAAAACCAAACGTGACCATCACTTGGAAAATCAACAAGTAAACGTGTCTATCTTTTTTTTTTTTCTTTTAACAATCAAAAACAAATTACGTATAAAAATTAAAATACTTCATATGATGGTGATATAATACAAAAACCATAGACTATAAAACCCAGATAAATATTTCTTACTTTACTTTTAATTTCCTAGTGTTTATTTGATCTGAGTTTTATTATAATTTATTTAGGACAAGAATAAATACAAGAACACTCTCCATCATAAAAGCAAGAAGCGCGCCCCAACCTCTTCAGCACACTCTGCACATCACATTTTTGGATTAAACAAGCATATTAAGGATAATGTGAGCGAGGTTCTTAAAATAGCTCAAGCAAGCAAAAACTACTTGGAACATGGGAATATTCACATAGTCAACATATATAATAGAGAAATAGGATTAGGTCTGATGGACTTAAAAGGAGTCGACTTTTAGCAGGAGAAAACCTATCAATTAAGATTAGAGAATGTTTATCCGAGAAACAGAGATGAACACAAAATAGGGCAAGGAACAAAGGAAGAAGAAAGTTTAAGTAAGAGATCAAGAAATAACGAGTACACATAAAGCTAAGGTTGTTACTTCAAAGGTCAAAATGCTCATAGTTCTGTGCCCAAACAATGTCTTAACCTTTTTTAGTAAAAGCGGATAGAGATCATATCACTAAGATAAATGAGATGTTTGTAAAAACTTGAATCTTATTGTAGTGGTAGTTACGGATTAAATACCTTGAAATTTTATAATATCTAGATTTGAGAATCAACTACCCAAACTCGGGTACACTAATATTTATTAGAATACTCACAAATATTTGAATCCAATTCAAATCTGTCAAAAACGGCTAAAATAATTAAAATAATAATATAAATTTTCACAAAACAACACTTTAAAATATTAAATCGCATTGTAAGATTAAATAGAAATGATCAATTAATTTTTTATTTTTAAATTATTTGTTAGTCTACAAACTCAAACACAGATATTAAGTCGTTCACCTACTTATAGTAGGCCAATGGTTAAAACATTCATCAAAAGATTTGAGGAATATGGTTTAAATCTTTTCATTGTGATATCATAGTTCGCCATTGTAGATAGTTAAAATGGTAAGAAAAATCAGTTTTTTCACAAATCCAGGGCGGAGGCAGAGTAATCAACCACCTAAAACCGAAAAAAATTTGTGGGATTACCTTTATTTAAGAACAAAAAATATTATTCTGAATATCCAATTATTTTAATCCAAAAAATCAAAACTGTATGTTGATTCCTTCCTTGACATTTGTATGTTAAGGGTTATGCCATCAATAATTTGTTCACTTGTGAAGATCAAAACTATTCAACAGAGTTTAAGTAAAGCACATTTTTTAATTTTGATTAGGGCTTTCGATAGGCATGGACTGGCGCTGCACAAGTCTTAAAGATTCATCTAGATTTGGGTCCAGAATTTCCATTGTGGATGCTTAAAATTCAAAGACAAATGTTACCAGATTTCTATCTACGAGTATATATCATGGATTCATGGTGGCATAATACAAATCATAAACTATAAACCCAGTAAAAATATATATATATATATTACTCTACTTTTTATTTCTTTGTCATTTATTTGATCTGAGTTTTATTGTAATTATTTAGAACAAGGATACAGACAAAGACACTCGTAACCAGCTTTGGAATCACCATAGCAACGAGCCTGCCCCTGCCTCTTCAGCACACACACCACGCCACATTCTTGGATATTACAAGTTTCCTCTTTACTCAAGAGTCTCCTGACAATATCGTGTGTTGGGATCCCATCGTGGTTGCTTCTTGTTTCCCACCACTCCTGTAATCATAATTAACATACAATTTTAGTAACAGATTTAAACTGTAAAATATAGTATTACATTCGTATCAAAAATATTGATATTCTGACATTATAGATCTGACTTGATATTAAAAGGTAAATATAACATGATATTCGTAAAAAATATTATTTGTAATACGTTAAACCTATTTTAAATATAGATATATACTTAACACGAAAACTATGAAAATAGTTAAAACGATTAACGAGAATCGAAAGTGTTTCTTCATTCTAACTAGATGATAGAAATGATTTGATGATGTTTAAACAATCTAAAAAGAAAGAACAAAGTATACTTATATATATACAGAATCATCTCATTTAAGTATGCCGCCGAAAATTGTGTGTTTGAATGGGTCTGGTGGTACACAAATTCCAAACTGTTTTACTAATTTGATATGTAAAAGTTATTGACCCGTTCTTTTTACTATTTTCTTTTGAAGTTTTTGTTGTTGTAATTCGTAAAGTTTACAAACAATAATGAAAGCGCATCAAACTTAAAATATAAATATAAACATACTAGCTTACAATATAAACATAAACATATATATATATATATATCTATATTATTATTTGAGTAGATATTTACATAAATAATTTATTTGTAAGATATTACATAATATTTTACATAAATGAACATTTATTTATAAGATATTACATAAATAAACCTTTACTTATAAGACATTACATAAATAACTTTAAAAACATAGAAAGCTCAATTAAACATTTCTCTGTAAGAGATATATAAATATAGAGCTTACAAATTTATTTTGAATATATATGGATATAAATCAAAAATAAATTTAATTTAATTTATTTAAATATTAAAATATATTTTATTATTTTAAATAGTAGTCAATCCATATATGTGAAAAAAATCTATTTATACTTTTGAAATCTTTTTCATTTTTGTTTTCATAAGTAATTAGAATAATTTTTGAAATCAGTTCAATTATTTTTATAAAAAAAAATTGAAATTTATTTCTAAAACTTAAATTGTATTTTTACGGGTTGATCGAAAATATCTTTTAGTAAATTAAAAAATAAATTAAGTAGATGGGTTTGTCTACTTTAACAATCCTATATATAATTATTATTAACACACATTATAGACTTTATTAATTAAAAATGATAGTTTGATCTCTAATAAAAATTTTGCAATTAATTTCTTATTTTATAGATATATATTTTGATTTGAATCTATTTTGATATGTATATAATTATATATATATATATATATTAACTTCATATCATTTTACATTTAAAACCTAATAATAATTAAACCGTATAACAAAACTAACTCAAAGTCCTATTCGATAAATATATTTATAAGTAAATATCGGTTATATGATATTTATATATATATATGTATTGTTTTATTTATTTATATTTTTTGTTAAATAATTTTTACCACCAATTGTACTTTAACAAAAAATAAATTAATTAATTTAAAGACAATTTAAAACATATTACTCTGCACAATGTGCAGGTTAATTCCTAATATATATACACTAGATTAGTTACCGTACTTGTGCATACAGTAAAAACTCTATAAATTAATATTCGATAAATTAATAAACTCGGTAAATTAATAATTTTATTTGGTCACAAATTTAAATTTTCAATAGCTATATGATGTTTTTTTTACTAGTGAAATTATGTTCTTCTTCTGGTGGAGGATATTCTTGGGAGCCTTCAGGATCATGATTATACAACATACATATCTCCAAATGCCTGAGTTATGTTCTGCAGGTTCAAATTACAAACTTGCTTAGGAACCATTTTATGAAATTTTTGACAACTTTGTACTGAAGTCTTGTTGTGAGATGGTCAGCGAGAGTATGATAACAGGGTATATATCAAACTAAAATAATGCATTGGCTTTAATGGATTCGAAACATTTTCCAAGATCCACATGTTTCAACAAAAACAAGGTGAGTCAATACTAGACAGAACAAAATATTTGTCTTAAGCTATAAAAGTCTAGAACTGAACTGCATGAAAGCCAACAGATGTCTTAGGTATCCAAAGTAACATTTATGGCTTGGCGCTCCACCCGGAGAGCCACCATTGACGATGTGTTGAGGATTGTCACACGATTCTCCCTTGAGAATCTCCAACAATTAGTGCCGTCTTCTGCGTTTTCTGTGTGCACTCCATATTTGTAGGCGTATGTTACATTGCCTGGCTCATCTGTGAACACAATTGAGTTCTTGCTCAAACCGCAACCATCAGGAAGCTCCTTAGCCAAGCAGCAGACATTTCCAACTTGTCCAATAAAAAACACACGGTCTCCCAAATCGCTGACCACGACCCATTCACCAGCCTTTTCATCTAGTCTACTCACTATACAAATAAACCGATTAAAGTTTATTACATCAGATTCAGGAAACGGATTGAAACGCCCGACCAGGAACAGCTCATCATCGCCAGACTGAACAAGATGATGGCATGACCTCCGATCCGGCACGGGCATCATGGGAGTACGTATCAGCGAGTAAGGATCGAAAGCGAAGATGTCCCCATTTAGAAAGGTTGCATAAAACCTGCCTCTAAAAGAGACTAAATCTACGCATGAAGCCTCTGAGGTTTCTTTAAGGCACATCCACCTCATTTCATCACTTCTTAACATCAACAAATCATTAGTGTAGTTGAGGAGTACAACGAATTCACTTCCGTTCTTGTTAAGTGGAAGAAAAGCCACGCCTCTATACTTTGTTGTCCTAGAGTTTGGATACCAACCGATCATTCTGTACTGGTGGCCTAAAGGAAAGATCTGGCTGTCATGTATGTTCATCAAGGTTGGATCAGATCCTGGGATTTCAACTTTCACTGAGCACTGAATAGGAGATGGAAGCATCATATTCATATGATCCTCTGACTTATCTCGGCCTACTCCTCCAAGTAAGAACTTATCAGCAACAAGAGGAGTTTGGACTCTAAAGAGGAACAACGGAACCTTCTCGAGAGTGCACAGTTTCTTGCTTACGTAAGGGAACTTTCCAAACGTGGGAAAAGAGTAACTTGGGCGTAGTAGGCAAGATGGATAGGGAAATGTGGATCGCCACAAGCTGCAAACAGATCGAGCATGAACAACATCGAAACAGTTATCCAGTTTCTTGGTGATAATGCAAAGTAGCTCTTCAGGGAGCTGAATCCAGTCTGGCTTCATGGATGATATCTTCATTTTTGTTGAAGGTTCTGCCATGTTTGCTGATGATGTCGGAAACAAATGCAATCTTGAAATCTGAAATAAATTTACAATTTTTCAGAGTTTGGAAAATTGTAAACAGACATGAACAGACAAGATTTACTCCATATCAAAGAGCAACAAACACACTCAGGTAAAACCAAGAACAAATCTGACTTTCAGACTTTTGGTTTCTCCACATTCGGATCAGAAATTCCTAACACACATTTGGTTCAGTCTGAGAGTGAAGAAGCCACTTACTTGAGAGATTACACACAACACATGAGAGATGAGAACAAATACTGATTAAAAAAAAAAAATTGAAAATCCCTTCACACTGCATCATCAAATTTAAGCACAGGTAAATATAAAGTGAAAATTTTGCTGAATTATATTACACCCATGATATGAAAATATAGATTTCTCTAAGCACCTGCCACTGACCTTCGATTTCAATGATGAGAGAATCTCAATACAGAAACATACCTGTCGTAGAGACTATGACGACGAAACCAAGGAATGATATGTTGTCGGAGAAGAAATGACTCGACTATAAGTCCATTTCAGCGAGAGACTTGAGTGGAGAAAAAACGATTTAGGGTTCAGTAAATTTCGATTTGGGGGTGATGGAGAAGAAAACATAACCGACGTCGTTTACGGTAAAAACGGAAACGATGTCGTTTATGGAAAATAAAACGATTTCTTTTGAGAAACGAATCAGATAATTTATTCATGCAGATGATATTTGTCATTTGCCTTGTGATGTTTATTGATTCTCGTGATTATGTTGATGAATCTCTATGGTTGATCGAGTGAGTTTCGAGTTTTCATATGATTATGGAAGAAAACATACTTCTTTCAAAACCTTTTCGCAAAATTTGAAGTACTTCAGCAAATCCAGACACAACTTCGAGTTCATGAACAACCATTTCATTAGAGACAACAATGGTCGTGGGAAATAGTTTACAACTACTAAGTATCACCATAAGATCAGAGATCACAAAATCATTACTTGAAATCATAAGGAAATAATTTTTCTTTGTTCTAATAAAAACAAAGCCAACAACATGTATCCAAAACTAAGATTTTACGGCTTCTCATGGTCTATCCGGAGAGCCACCATTGGAGATGTACAGAGGATCGTCACACAAGTCTCTTTTGACGACCTCCAAAAGCTAAGGTCATCTTCAGCATTTCCTGTATCTACTCCATACTTATAAGAGTAAGTCGAATTGAATATTTCATTGATGAATAACATCGAGTTCCCACTCACACCACAACCATCAGGAAGCTCCTTAGCAGAGCAAGAGCTATTCCCTGAGCAATTTCCCGGTTGTCCTATCAGCAACACACGGTCTCCCAAATCAGTGACCACGACCCATTCACCAGCTTCCACATCTAGCTTACTCACTCTACATGTTAACTTGCTAAATTCTAACACTCCAGTACCACGAAGGATGATTCTCTCAACTAGGAAAAGCTCTTCGTCACCAGATGGAACAAGATAGTTTTGCGAGCTCAGACGCTCAGAGGGCCTCAAGGGAGTTGCTTCAAGCGAATAAGGATCGATAACGAACACGTCCCCGTTAAGAAAGACTACGTAGAACTTACCTCTAAACGTGACTATATCGTTGCAATCAGCTCTTGAGGTTTTCTCAAGCCGCCTCCACCTCATTTCACTACTCCTTAAATAATACAAGTCATGCGAATAGCCAATAAGCACCACGAATTCTCCTTCTCCTCCCTCCTTGTTTAGTGGAAGAAAAGCCACGCCTCTGTAACTTGTTGCTAATGAATCAGGATCCCAACCGATCATTCTGTATTGATAGCCTAGAGGGAGAATCTGACAGTCGAGAATGTTCATTAAAGTCGGATCAGATTCTCCTATCTTCACTTTCACTGAGCATTGAATTGGAGAAGGAAGCTCTATACCATCATCATCATCATCTGACTTATCTGGACTTATTCCTCCAACAAAAAACTCAGAAGGCAACGCATCAGCAGGAGATCGGACTCTAAAGAGGAACATAGGGAACTTCTCGAGTGTGCACAAGCCTTTTCTTTTGCGAGGGAACTGGGCAAACGAGGGAAAAGAATAACTTGTGCGTAATAGGCAGGAAGGAAAAGGAAAGCTGGATCGCCATGGGCGGCAAACAGACCGAGCATGAATAACATCGAAACTGTCCTCTAGCTTCTCGGAGATAATGTGGAGTAGCTCTTCAGGGAGAAGAGACCAATCGGGGATAGACAATGTGTGCTCTTTCGTTGCAGGTTGTGCCGTTTTTGCTGATGGAGAGGAAGAAAGCTGCAGTTTTGAAACCTGAGGAGAAGATTTTACAGTATCTAGAGTCAAACGAAAATGTTTTTTCTTTCCGGTTAGCAATCCTGAGAAGTAATTTATATGTACACCATAATACAATAACCAGAATCTGCCAACAAACATCGAAAATGGAGGATCAAATCAAAAATTCTGAACTCAAACTCGTAGTTATGCCCAGAAATCTAAGAGAAAAAAGAGTTTGTACACAATCCTGAGAAGTAATTTATATGTAATGATACATCTAGATTGATTTAAAGCTTCTTTATATACATACACCAAACTATATTTGCCAACAAACATCGAATACAGATAATCAAATCAAATTTTCAAACTCAAACTTGTAGTTATGCACAGAAATTAAGAAGTAGCAAAGGGGCAGAAAAAGAGTTCGTACATATTCTGGGAGAAGAGACGAGTCTGGCATCATTGATGATATCTTCTTCTCCGTCGCAGGTTCTGGCATTTTCGATGATTGCTGCGATTTCTTAACCTGAAAGAAAATTTAAGCTTCAAGGGTTTAAGGAAATATGAACAGAGAAGGTTAATCGCGATAAACAATCTGCTACTGAAACAGGAGCTTAAATCCAATTCCACAATTTTAATTTTGTACCAAAGGGGAGGAAGAGTCCGTACCCAAACCATGTTTGATGTCTTCTTCTTCGGTGCCATGTTTGCTTATTGCTGCGATTTCCGAAATATGTAAGAAAATTTTAGCTTCTAGGGATTAGTATACTGTAAACAAACATGGAAAGAGAAGATAACCACATAACAATTCATATTCCGAATGCATAAACACAGAGCACAAGAACTCGATAGTGACAATAGATACTGGAAACAGAGAAGAAATCGAATCCAACTAAAGAATTCGATAAGAAATTAGACATTTTTACAATTTTGTACCAAAATGGTGAAGAAGAGTCCGTACCCAAACCTGGAAGTGTAGAACCCAACCAAAATGGCAAAATGTCACAGAGAAGAGAACGATGTTGAAAAAAAAAATTAAGGGAAAAGTACGAAAACACCCTTGAGAAAACCCTACATTAATCGTCTCACAGTATCACACATATATAAAGCTTAAGCCGCGACAGTCCTCTTCTTCGCCGGCAAAAACCCTAAAAAATCGTTAAACATTTCATCTTTCTCAGCGAAAATGGCTGCCGCTGCCGTTCGCCCTCTAGTTACCATCCAATCTCTGGAAGGTGATATGAGCACTGATCAAGCCACAACTATACCTCTTCCCGACGTAATGAAAGCTCCGGTTCGTCCCGACGTCGTGAACCATGTCCACGCTCAGATCTCAAACAACAGTCGCCAACCTTACGCTGTCTCGAAGAAAGCCGGTCATCAGACTTCAGCCGAATCGTGGGGTACAGGACGTGCCGTGTCTCGTATCCCTCGTATTCCCGGAGGCGGAACTCACCGTGCCGGTCAAGCCGCGTTCGGAAACATGTGTCGCGGTGGTCGGATGTTTGCTCCGACTAAGATCTGGCGTCGTTGGCACCGTCGCGTCAATGTCAATTTGAAGAGACACGCGATCGTTTCCGCAATTGCCGCGACTGCTGTTCCTGCTCTTGTGATGGCTCGTGGTCATCGGATCGAGAATGTTCCTGAGATGCCTTTGGTGGTTAGTGACTCTATCGAGTCTGTGGAGAAGACGAGTGGTGCGATCAAGGTTTTGGAGCAGATCGGTGCTTACCCTGATGCTGAGAAGGCGAAAAATAGTATGGGGATTCGATCTGGTGTAGGTAAAATGAGGAATCGTAGATACATTTCTCGTAAAGGTCCTTTGATTGTTTACGGAAACGAAGGAGCTAAGTTAGTGAAAGCGTTTAGGAACATTCCTGGGATTGATTTGTGTCATGTTGAGAGGTTGAGTTTGTTAAAATTGGCTCCTGGTGGTCACTTGGGAAGATTCGTTGTGTGGACTAAATCGGCTTTTGAGAAGTTGGAATCGGTTTACGGATCGTTTGAGAAGCCATCGGAGATGAAGAAGGGTTATGTTTTGCCTCGTCCGAAGATGGTGAATGCTGACCTTGCTAGGATTATCAATTCTGATGAGGTTCAGAGTGTGGTTAGGCCGATTAAGAAGGATGCTAAGAGAGCTGTGTTGAAGAAGAATCCTTTGAAGAACTTGAATGTGATGTTGAAGCTTAACCCTTATGCCAAGACTGCGAGAAGGATGTCTCTTTTGGCTGAAGCTGAGAGGGTTAAGTCCAAAAAGGAGAAGCTCGAGAGGAAGAGGAAACCCATATCAAAGGTATTATCTCTCTCCTCTTCTCTTAGATTTCTCTCTATGATTGAATCTTCCTTTGGTTTATTATTGGGTTTCTTAGGTATTTCTTAGACTTAGATGAGGTAAGAATCTGTGGTTTATCTGATCTGGCTTGTGTTATTAAACTTGTTCTTGATTCTCGTGTCTTGCAGGAGGAATCAGCCAAGATTAAAGCAGCAGGAAAAGCGTGGTACCAGACTATGATATCAGACAGTGACTACACCGAGTTTGATAACTTCACCAAGTGGCTTGGTGTGAATCAGTAAAATCTGCAACTTTAGACAAATTTTTTGTTTTTTTTTTTTGTTTTGATTCTGAGATCAAAGTCAAAGTCATGAACAAGGTTTTACTTTTTTGTTTCTTTAATGACGGTTTTATTTATCTCGTACTTATGTTTTACCATGATAAAAATCGATTAATTTGCCCAGTGTTAGTTTCCTTCTAACACAAGTCTCTCATATTTGACTTTCGTAGAATAAAAAATTATTGAACAGGTCATATTGTTGAATATAATTCAAGATAAGATTTTCGTATTTTATGTTACGTTGAGAATCAAGTAGACCGTTTTTTATACAAGTAAATTAAAAGATTAAGTTTATTATAATTCTGTACGACGTGCTTAGATTTTTGGTTACAAAAAGTTTATATTTTTTATGTAAGATTGAATGCTAAGTCGTCCCCTACAAAACTAGAAACTTATCATATAGATGATGCTTGTTCGGATTTAGTCTTGATGACAATTTGCAATAATTTCAACAGCTTATCAAAAGTTTACTATATAAATAAGCATACAGATCAATGGGTTTATTTCATACTTGAAACACATCTTCATCTTTAAAGAAACACCAAATGAGAAACAAGAGGGTGTTCTTCTTCGTTTTGTTCTGCTTCTTCTTCTCGGTGGAACTAAGCAGAGGACAAAACAACAAAAGAACCGAAGTCAATGTTGGTGTTGTAACAGATGTTGGAATAATGCATTCGGACATCGAAATGCTCTGCATCAACTTGTCTCTCGCCGATTTCTATTCTTCTCGTCCCCAATTTCAGACAAGGCTTGTCGTCAGCATTGGTGATTCCAAAGACGACGTGGTTGGTGCCGCAGCTGCAGGTACCTTCTCACCTCCTCTCTCTCTCTTTATATATATATTAAGTAGTTTGGATACATTACTGTTACTGTTTGTGATCATCGATCTTCTTTACGCACTGGATTGATTCTCATTCAATTCTTCACATACTCAAACCTGCATTTTCTTGGTTTTTGACATTGTCACAGCTCTTGAGTTGATAAAGAACAAGCGAGTGAAAGCCATTGTGGGGCCATGGACATCTATGCAAGCTCATTTCTTAATCGAAATTAGCCAAAAATCACAGGTTCCGCTTGTTTCCTACTCTGCGATAAGCCCATTTCTTACCTCTCTCCGTAGTCCATACTTCTTCCGTGCTACCTATGAGGACTCCTTTCAAGTAAACGCCATAAAAGCTATCATAAAGTTGTTTGGTTGGAGAGAAGCCGTTCCAGTTTACATCGACAACACCTTTGGATAAGGTATAATGCCTCGTCTCACCGATGCATTACAAGAGATCAACGTTCGAATACCTCATAGATCTGTTATCGCTCTCAATGCAACTGACGCTGAAATCTCTGTGGAGCTTCTTAAGATGATGACCATGCCCACAAGAGTCTTTATTGTCCACATGTACACTGCTCTTGCCACAAGATTCTTCATTAAAGCTAAGGAGATTGGCTTGATGAAACCAGAATATGTCTGGATCCTTACCAATGGAGTAACTGATGATTTAAGTTTGATGGATGAGAAGGGAATCGAGGCTATGGAAGGGGTATTGGGTGTTAAGACTTATATTCAGAAATCCGAAGATCTCGACAAGTTTAGAGCTCGATGGAGGAAGAGATTCCCACGAATGGATCTGAGTGTCTATGGACTATGGGCTTATGATGCTATCACCGCACTGGCGATAGCCATTGAAGAAGCTGGAACAAATAACTTGACTTTCAGTAATGCGAATGCTGGGAGAAATGTATCTGAACTTGAACCTCTTGGTTTATCTCAATACGGTCCTCAGCTTCTCCAGACTCTCTCAAGAGCTCGGTTCAAAGGACTAGTAGAAGATTTCCGCTTTGTCAAAGGGCAACTGCAACCATCTGTGTTTGAGATTGTTAACGTTGTTGGAACCGGAGAAAGATCAATAGGGTTCTGAACTCGATTTTTATTGTTGTAGAGTGTTTAGTCTTTGTTGCTTAGGGTTGCCAAAGTTTTTTGGAATAAATTGCATACATCATATATTTATACTAACTTTCTAAACTGCCTAGCCGAAAATCTCGGGCGAGATTCTCGGAATATTTCCTTATCGCCTCGTGCGGCTGACCGCTTTTGCATCTTGCCTAGGGTTTTCCATGGGCTTCACCTCTCAAGGCTTCTTTACGGCTCGGCCCATCTAGTCTTCTTCACGGCTCGGCCCACTTGCCATGGAGACATGATCTAGCCCACCGCACCGATACACGGCTCGGCCCAAACGTGTTGAAGTGGGGCTCGGCCCATTCCTTTCGATGCGGCTCGGTCCACCTGTTTTCTTTCACGGCTCTCCCCACTGGCTTATCTGCACGGCTCTCCCATTTGTCTTGGTGAGAACGGCTCTCCACTTGTCATGGTGAGAACGGCTCTCCCACTTGGCCAGCACGGCTCTCCCACTTGGTGACCACGGCTCTCCCATTTATCTTTCTTCCATACTTAACCATTTTAAGATGGTTTATCTACTTGGGTGAAAACCGATCTCAACAGAAACTTTTGTCATGGAGACTTTGGGTGACTTCTTTTTGCTTCTTTTTCCTTATTGGCTTTACTGTTTGGGTCCTTGAACATAGGGTTAATCCGGATTTTCGTGGACCGGCTAATTACCAAGCTAGTACCATCTTCTGGTTTGCCTTCTCTACCATGGTTTTTGCTCCAAGTACTTTCAATCTCTCCTCTGTACATATCTCAGCATATAACGATATTTCTATATATCACTTTGCTTAACGCTTACTCTCGAATCGCTGCTCCCAGGAGAAAAAGTGTACAGCTTCGGAGCAAGGATCCTGGTTATCACATGGTACTTCATCGTCCTCGTGTTGACTCAAAGCTACACAGCCAGTTTGGCGTCGCTACTAACATCACAAGAGTTTTATCCAACCATAACGAGCATGAGAAGCTTGCTTGAGAGAGGAGAAACAGTGGGTTATCAGAGAACATCATTCATCCTTGGAAAGCTTAAAGAAACAGGTTTCTCGCATTCTAGCCTTGTGCCCTTTGATACCGCTGAACAATGCGATGAACTTATGAGAAAAGGAGAAAAAGGCGGCGTCTCTGCAGCTTTCTTGGAAATACCTTACTTGAGACTCTTTCTAGGACAATATTGCAACACTTATAAAATGGTTGAAGAACCCATAAATGTTGATGGATTTGGCTTTGTAAGCTTCTAAAACAAAACTTACGTAGAAATTGCATTAAATGGTGGTGAGATCATGACTCCCTTCTTTTTTTGCAGGTTTTTCCAATTGGATCACCTCTTGTAGCTGATGTTTCAAGGGCTATCTTAAAAGTTGCAGAGTCACCTAAGGGGATGGAGCTTGAGCGGGCATGGTTCAAGAAGAAAGAAGAAAGTTGTCCAGACCCAGTCACCAATCCAGATCCAAATCCATCTTTTACCTCTAGGCAGCTTGGCCTAGACAGTTTCTGGCTTCTGTTTCTTATTGCGTTTGTTATCTGCGCTCTAACACTCGGCAAATTCACAGTCTGTTTCCTATGGAACAATAGAGATAATAGGTGGCAAAGGCTTCACCAACAAGACAATGATTCGTACATCAACAACGTAGAGATGTGTCCTTGTTCGTTAAATCAAAGCATCCCTCGGAATCCGGCGAATCCGGCACCGGCAGCAGCAAACTAGACAAACAATCGTTAAGACACTAGTTACAACCAAATTTGTTTAAATCTATCAAGCTTTATGACTAATACTATCAAACAAAATGTTGTAGCTACTCAGCAAAGTTGCATTCTTCCACTCAGTTATAACGTGTACATCTCTGGTTTATCAGTTTCTACGATAGACCATATATAACCATCTCTGTACACAGTTTTTTTTAACGACATTACAAAAGACTCAAAAAGTCAAAGGCATAAGTTTGATAGACTATTTGAAAGTCAATAAAGTGAAGTCCCTTGAAAATTAAATAATTTTTCCCTTAAACATCAGTACTTAAGAAAACATTTGTTTATTGTTTTACATCAGTATTAAATCTTTTTTGTTTTACATTTGTTTTTTTTTTTAAATACGTCAGTACTAAAGCAGCATCTCCACGTGAAAACAGAAGATGAATGTGGCTATTCTCCCACGCTCTCTTCTAGAGTCCGCAAGCTATAGGCTTACTGTCCAATCAAAGAAAACAAGAAAAGTGGTGAAAAGAGCTATCCAAGGCAGATTTTTTTTCTTTTCTTTTTTTTGTAACATCCAAGGCAGAATTTTGGAATGTAGCTCTTGAAGATTTAGAAAACCAACATGAAGAAATAGCCGTTGGTTATCTCAATTGTTTGAGATAAATTCAATATTTTTTAATTATGCGGTTGTATATGGCGTCATGATTTTTTTATAGGTACAATCTTTTCTAGTCAAATTAGGTTTTGTATGATCCAATATAATCTAAGCATATAGCATCAGATTTCGAATCCATCTTATATATATACTAATAAAAGTTGAAGCTAAATGCTTCTAAGGGTATCAACATCCACATAGGATTAAAAAGGGCAATTCTATTGGTCCACATCAACAATCAAAAATAAGAAAAATTTACAAATTTTTAATATTATTGTTAAATAAATAAATTAAGAAAGTTTACAATATCTAATTATTTTTGAATAAAAATTCTATATAAATTTTTTATTGGTCCACCTCAACATTGAAAATTAATTTTTTTTTTCAAATTCCATTATTATTTTAAAATTTATTAAAGATAAAGAAATTATATATAAAATTTTTGTTAGTAATAAAAAAAAATAAATAATATTAAATTAAAAAAAATTAAATTTAAATTAGATGTATACACACATATTTAGAGATTCTTACATTGGTATCCAAATTTTTGTCACATAACTATAATAATTTTTAAGTTTTTTTCTGTGTTTACAACCATTTCAAATTAAAAACAAAAAACAAAAAAAATAAAGTTAGGTTTCACAAAAAAAATGAGTCATTACAACGTAAAATAACCAACTTGACTAAACTATAAGTTTAACTATTAGCTAAATTACAAAGAATATAATAAAACGAGATATAAACAAAGCCATTACAAGCTGCTTTAATATTGAAAAAGATACCGAAAAATAAGTTTGGTCACCGAATTTGAAAAGAATGATAAATTTCAAGCAATCCGAGAAACATGTCAAGTGATTGATACTCGACACTTTTAAAAAACAAAGCACTGAAAATAGAAAAAGAGGTGCGGTCATTAAGACGAAAGAGATTAAGGTATTTGAAGAAGATTTTTGAAATAACATGGCATCTGATACAGTTTTAACAACCTAACTTTAAGCACAAAGGTAACAATTAGCTGCCAAGAAGCATCTAAATACATTCGGTAAGCCTAAAAAACAAGGAGGCGAAACCAAAATCATGACACTTTTGAAAAACGAAGCACTAAAAATAGAGAAATAAGTTTTGTCATTAAGCCGAAGATTGAGGTATCTGAGGAAGATTTTTGAAATAATATGACATCTGATGGAGTTTTAACAACCTAACATTAACCAAAAAGATAACAATTAGCTGACCAAGTAGCATGCGAATACATTCGGTAAGCCTAAAAACAAGGAGAGACCATAATCACTTGTCTCGTGTGGGATCTTCCAGCTTTGATTTATAAATCTATTATTAAAAAAAAATAAAAGTTATATGCCTCTAAAAATGTCCACATATGATGTAAAAGTTTAATTTGATTGGTCTACATCAATATTTAAAATTAGAAAAAATTTCAAAATTTAAAATTATATGGTTAACAAAAAATATGTTTATAGAAAAATAAATATAGAAGCTATATGCCTCTAAAGACATCCACATAAGATTTAAAAGGTCAATTTTATTAGTGTACATCAATAACTAAAATTAAAAAAAAAAATCTAAATTATAAAATTACATTGTTAATACAAAACAATATAGAAAAAATTGTTAATTAAAACTATTCTATTATGAATAAAAATTAAAGCTATGTTATTTTCAAGGCATCCACATCAGCATTTAAAAATTAAATTTTATTCGTATATATCAAAATTGTAAATTTAAAAAACTTTCATAATTCTATTAAGAAAGTAAATTAAAGAATAAAAAATCTCTAATAATAAAAAAACATGATATTAAAATCTTCATTATTACTGTTTAAATTATAAATTTAATTTATTATCTATAAAACTATATATTACTTATACAAGGTCATGTTACTTGATTTTAAGGCTTTTCATGTAGAATTTTAAATAACTAATAATTATAATTTATATTAATTTTTTCACATATGCAAAACATATTTCCATATAATCTCATGTAATATATTATGCAAAAATGATCGAAAAAATTATATTTTGTATATTCTGCTTGGAATTGCAATAGATTAATGTAGAAGTTTTTAGTTTTTAAGATTTCAATTTGTTATTTAATTTTTCTAAATTTATATGTATTAAATTGTATCGACTGCCTACTTAAATATAATTAAAAGAAGTAAGATTGAATATGATGAAACTGAATATAATCATACAAAAATCATTGAAATAAATAAATAAATATAATCTATTAGTTGAAAAAACAGATATAACAAAAATAAAAATGAACATGATGAAGAAAATTCATTCTTATTGAAATCAATGACGTATAATCATTGAAAAATTATTTAAACGTTTACACAATCAATTGATAAAAATATATTTAATTCACAAATTTTGTATGATTTTCTTTATTTTAAATTCAAATATTATTTTGGTTTCAAATTTAAAGTTGTTATTAATCTCAAAGCAAATATTTTATTTATTAGTTTTTTTTTAAATTAATATAACAAAATAAAAATTTGTATCGGTTAAACAAGAGAAGAAAAAAGATTAAATTTTAAATTTTATTATTGTTTTTAAAAAATACATATATAATTGGAAGAAAAATGAAAATGATGAAAAAAATTATCTTCATGATTTAAAGAAGTGAATGTATAATATTTTATCATCATGTCAATATTATGTTTAATAAATACCATTTGACTAATTTATAAAAAAATTTAGTTGATTTGGGTATATTAGCTTATAAGTGTTTGACCAAATAATACGTTTTTGAAATTTGACATATTGTATATAGATTTAAAAAAAATCGTTAAAACCTCAAAATGTACATAAAAATTATTATATTAATATTATAATATTTTAACTTTATTATTAAATCACTAATATATAAAATTTATATCTTAATAAATATAATTAATTGCATATAATTCTTATTAACAAAATACCCATGCATAGCGTGGACGCAAAATCTAGTTAAATTCGAAAAATTCAATATGAAAGACCACCTGTTTCCAGATTCCTCGTACATGATAGCAAAGAACAACGCTGTCAAGAACAAGGAGAACAGGAACTGAATGGTCAGATGAGGAGAGGTTGTTCTCTTTATGTCATATACATAAACTCATTAATTTGGAAAGATCAGATCTAAAGAAGAATAATCCACACATGTATCCATAAAAAGATAACAGTTAGCAAAAAACCTCGACAGCCGGGTCTTAGTATCAAAGGATCCGGACCAATTATGAATATCTTTTTAAATGAGAAATATTATTCAAATTTTCTTCCACTCTGCAATTGAAATATAAGTTTGATCAAGTCGAGTGTCCATACTCTTAGAAACCCATGAATTAGCATTTAATGTTTAATATTTATACATACCATGCGATGTATTTGCACCGAGGGTGATAGCGATCACTCGCGGGATGCAGAAATAGATAGTTAAAGCCATATCGTGTCTAAACTACCAAATTCAACCCGTATATTAAGGAAGAAAGGGACGCATCAAGAACTCGTCTCGTAGCTGATAGAAAATACCAAAGTTGGTGAGACTTTGAAATGCATGACACAATAGACAAGATTCAGATCCAACTATATCCGATCTCAAACCGACTCAACAACTTGACAATCTAAAATCTGACCCAATATACTAATACAAATCAGATAAAATTCAATAAATACTTTAACTCTTTCCATATGAACGCACGGCCAAGAAAACTTTGGCGGTTTAACTTTTATGTAATTTATATAGGCTTGAGCCTACTTTAGAAGTTTGACCCGTCCATGATCCGTTGACCCAGGCCAAGAATCTGGTTTGGTTCAACTCAATTTTTTTTTTCTAGTGTCACATGATGAATATTGTTGATAAAAACAAAAAAAAAAATAACATGTCTCGAGAACAATAACTTTCTGGAAAGCTGACATATAGAAGTGATTTTTCTTGACGTTTTTTTTTTGGACTATTACTCCTCTCCATTTTTCTAAGAAACACAAAGCTTGTTCGTTCGAAGTTCACAGAAGAAGAAAAGAAGAAAACTTCAACGATTTTGTTTGAATATGGCGAATCCACCTCTCTATTCTCCGATCAAACCACATTTCTTCCAACCACTTCTTCCCGGTTTCACCAACCATCTTGTATACTCTGTTTTTTTTTTTTTCTCTCTCTCCGAACATGTTAGTGCTGTTTCTAAACCTCTTGCATGCATATCGTTTCAGGACATTCCTGTTGCCTTCTTCTTGAAGCACTTAGAAGGAAGTAACAAAGGCAAAACGGCTAAGCTGAGATCAGATGCATCAGAGATCACCTGGAAAGTTAAGATTGACGGTCGGAGACTCTCTGTCGGTTGGGAAGATTTTGCTGTTGCACATGATCTTAGAATTGGTGACATTGTCGTTTTCAGACACGAAGGAGACTTGTTGTTCCATGTCACAGCTTTAGGACCAAGTTGCTGTGAGATTCAATATGGAGAATATAGCAATGATGAAGAGGAAAATATGGGTAAACCTCAGCTTTTATATTAGAATGAGTTATTGAGATTTACTTAAATCTATTAATAGAGAAGAAAATTTGTGATACAGAGAAGGTTTCAAGAAAGAAGAAGAAGAGTCCAAAGACAGAAACAGATGATGCAACAGACCAATCTTGTTTTGAAGTTACTGTCACAGCTTCGAATCTAAAGCGTGATGTAGTGGTTAAGTTACTTCCACATTTCTCTTTACTTATTATATACAGTAACTTTGATTTTGAGTGAGAGGTGATTTGAAATTTTAATCATATTGAACTTGTGGGGGTGCATTTTGCAGTATCTTCCCAAAACGTTTGCAGAGGTAAATGGTCTGATAAAGAAATCTGAGATTGTATTAATGAATGAAGAAGGAGAATCATGGAAGATTGACTTGAGACACGAGGATTATTCAGGGCGGTTTTACATGAGCAGAGGCTGGAGAAGTTTCTGTGTTGCTAATGGGAAGAAACCTGGAGACGATTTCACATTCAAATTGGTTCAAAATGAAGAAACACCTGTGATCCAAATGTTACCCTTGAATACTGAAGATCTGCACAAACTTGGTAAGTCATTATAACTTTACCACCATAAAGCTCTCTCATTTCTATGAACCATTCTCCTTGAGGAGTCATAAGCAAAGAGTATCATGTGTCCATGATCCATTCATCTTGGAGTGAATTGAAGTGTCACTTCTTTAAGAGTTAAGAGATTTTTTCACAGCTTAGTATTTGATCTTCATTTTCATAACTACTTGTACATGTTCAAAATCTGTGATAATCTTCCAGAAACAAATTGATGTTATCATCCACAAAGATTAACTTGTCCGTTCATTATGAAACCATTGTGTTTTTGTTTTCAAAAGATTTGATTAGGAAGAGACTTTGCCATGAACATCTGATTTAAGAGCTGATTTAATGCAAATCAGATTCTACAATGGATGCAGAGAAGGTTCCAAAAAAGAAGTGTCAAAAAACAGAAGCAGATTCTTCACCAGACCATTCTTGTTTTGTGGCCATTGTCACGGCTTCAAACCTAGAGCGCGATACAGTGGTAATGTTACTTCCAAAACACATCTTACTTTTATAACACACTAACTTTGGTTTGAGTGAGAAGTGATTTCTTTTTTATATAACTGTAACTCAAACTTATGGCAACATTTGCAGTATCTTCCAAAAAAGTTCGCAGTGTCAAACGGTCTGTTAAAGAAACGTGAGATTGATTTAGTGAATGAAAAGGGAAAATCATGGAGGATAGACTTGAGACACGTGGCGTATCCAGGCCGGTTTTGTATGAGAAGAGGCTGGAGAAGTTTCTGTATCGCTAATGAGAAGAAACCCGGCGACTCTTTCAAATTCAAGTTGGTACAAAATGGGGAAACTCCTATGCTTCAGATGTTTCCTTTGAATATGCACAAACTTGGTAAGTTGTGTTCTCTTTTGTTCTTTCAAGAAAACAAAATAAGTAACAGAAGCTGTTTGTTTCCTCTGTAGAGCCTAGCAATGACACAAGGGAAGGTTTAGAAGCTACCAGCGACGTTATTAGGCAAGGAAAACGGTCCAAAGCTATTAAAACTACCATCACAGAAGAACATAGCACAACAAGCCAAAACCGATTTGTGACATTAACATTTACTCCTGCAAATAGACTTGTAAGTTCCACAACAAAACTCTGTTTTTTGTTCTTTTCTTTTGTTCACTTATTGCCTCTCTCTATATGGAATCTAAGAAATTGAATCTACAGAATTTTCCATTGCAATTCACGAAGGAGAATGGAATTAAAAAGGCAGGGAGGATAACGATGCTTGACAGGTACGGTACAAGATGGAAGACGTCATTGCTGATGAATAAGAACCAAAGAGGAACAATGAGTTTAGGAAGAAACTGGAAAGGTTTCTGTGAGATTAATGGCGTTAAGATGGATGAATCTTTTGTCTTGGAGTTGGTTTGGGAAGAAAGAGTTCCTATTCTTAAGTTTTGTTCCAAAAGTTGAGAAACATATTAAGTGAGTTTGTTTAGATATTTTGGTCGATGGTCATTGCTCAGAGAGATTTAATTTATGTCTTTTAATGGATTTAGTTATGTGTTATCACAATGTCATCTCCGTATTTATATCTATTTATCTATATTATTAAAATAGAAATATGTTTTGTGTCCAAACAAATTTTACTTAATTTTTTTATTATTTTTTGGGATAACTCTTATTTAATTATTAAAAACTCAATTTAATAAATAATTAACTAAAATAATATATTATTAAAACAGAAATATGTTTTATATCTAAACAAAATTTATTTAATTTTTTACTATTTTTTAACTCTTATTTAATTACCAAAAAAATTAATTTAATAAATAATTAACTAAAATAATATTTTTTAATTTATATTCTAAAATAAATTCGAAAATTTAAATTTATCATAGATTTATATTATTTATTAAAAATTATAAAATAAATTCTTATTATATTTTTACAAAAAATAATATCTGATATTAGTTTAGATTTAATTTAAATATTCAAATTTAAGTAATAGACAAAAATAAAAATAATATATTATTATATATTTTTATTAAATAAATTTAAAATTTTCAATATTAAACTTAAAAATATATAAAATATATAAATAATATTAATAAACGGATTATAATTATGTTTTAATAATCGCGATTATTTTGAATTAATATAAATGAACATGTTATAATGATATTTTTATAATTGTTGTACTTTTGGATTAATATGAACGAACATATATGAATAATGTTTTTTTTAATTACAGTCATATATATACTAGAAAAAATTTATTAGAAAATTAAATTTAAACAAAAATAAAATAAAAATTATAGTATAAAATTTGATAAATTAAAATAAATGAGGTTGAAATGTAAATGTTTAGAAATAAAAGGTGTTTCTAATAAAATTTTAAGAGAATCCAACTAAATACAAGTACAACTAAACAAGGCTTTAAAACTTCTTCCTTGTTTGGGCTTCGAAAAGAATTATGCCCAACAAAACTGTGTGGCGTCATCTCAGGAAACACGTGTCGTTCCTTGGCTAATTTGATCTTCTCCACTCACACGTGTCCTTGAAGAGCAGCCATTGTTTGGCTTAACCACCGGAAGTTTTGCTCCAGCCGGATCTTCGCCGGCGAAATAAATTACATGAAGGAAGCATTTTTTTAATTTCGATTTGTGAAGAAGCGATCTGTGTATAAGTGTCATCGCTTAATCAACCCAAATCTCAATCTCTTTTCCGGAATCGATTCCTGTAAGAGATAGAAAATTCAGATTCCTCATAGGATCGGCTCCATAGAAACCTCCAACATCACACCGTTCTTCTCCACTCTCTGATCTTCTCAGCGTCGTGCGAGAAGTTAGAGAGAACACAAAAGCTGCATTTAATCCAGTCATCAAAATCAACTCTACGCGCTGAGATTTTCGATTTCTTCTTTTCCAAATATGCATGTTAAAACTCTCTCTGTAAGAGGTAAATGATAAGTTTTCCTCATCTGGGAAATTTCTAGGGTTTTTAATTCCTCATCTGGGAAATTTCTAGGGTTTTTAATTTTTAATTTTATTTTTACTTTTCTTTTGGTTGAAAATCGCCGATATTCATTTCCGTCTCTGTTTCTCTCCGAGCAGCTTATAGAGAGTTACAACTTTTTTCTTCCTTGTAGCCGATTCTTGTTCTCGAAGCATCAACAAGGAAGAAGCGTGGAGAAAAAAGATACTAGCGGCTAGAGAGATGGTGTTTCATGCCTCAGGTTTAGGACCCAGTTGCTGCGACGTTCGGGACATACCCAGCAACAATGATCAGAACGAGATCGGTAAGTTTGGTTCTTTTTTTGTTTTCTTCTTCGCCTTATTGTTAATCTATGACCTGTTCGCGAATTGAAAAATTGATTATTTTCTGTTAGATAAATTTGTGAATCAAACCCTATTTTGGAAACGAGCCGTTGAATAAAGATTCTTACATGTCCATCTACGCAGGTTACATATCGAGGACGAAGCATCTGCATCTCAGATCAGAAGAAGGTGATGATGATAAGGACAACAAGGGTAAATTCACTTCTGTTTCTGTCTGACTATCTTACTGTAGTGACGAATTTATAAAGCTGAGTACCTGATTACTTGGTTTGATAAGGTTGATTGAAATTAAAGTATCCGAGGACCGAGGTATCACAACATGTGGTTTTTTCCTTTTTCTTTTCTGATGCAGTGCTTGCGAGAGAGAAAAGGGTGAGGAAGAACACTTCGGAAGCAGAAGCTGATTCTTCTTCATCAGAAAATTCTTGTTTCGTGGCCCACGTTACGGATTCAAATCTACAGGAAGACTCTCTGGTGATTATATAACAGTATAGTTAAAATTGTTTTTGCGTACTGTGGTTTATTAACTTATCAGATGAACTGCTGTTTCTAGAATTTTGCATTTCGATTTAAATCTTATTGTTGTTTGGTTAGACCAGCTTGTTTTGGTGAAAACTTGTTGAAAGAAACTCAATATATATGGCTTTGGTTCCGTTTGATCAAGTGTCGTAGGTAACTTCAGTTTTGGTTTGCCTTGGTGTTCTTACAGAAGTAAAACCAAATTTCATTTCGATTCGTTTTGGTCTGGTATGGTTGTTGGTGATAGCAATTACAAGCTAAAATCATGGAAATCAAGAGACTTGGGGTTGATTGATTAGAATCCTATACTGTTAGAGTATCAAGGATAGAATGATAGTTCCATATTTGATAAACTTTTGCAAGAGTGATAAGATATGTTGAGTTTTCTTTTTGAAATTATCGCCTTTAAATCCCAAAGGCAAGAATCACGTCTCTTATTTGGGGAGGGTATATTTGTTTATTTTGTTTGTTTTTGTAGTGTTTTTCTTTTATAATTCTCTTAACACTTATCATATGGTTTCATTTTGATTGGTTCGATTTCGCTTATTTGCCTAATAATTTCAATGAAGTGTTATATTCAGGTTTGCTATATTTTTGTTAACTTGGTTAGTCATGAACTAACACAAAATTTTGTATAACTTGGTGTCATGAGGAAATGCTGAGAAATGCTTGAACCCTTTTTTGCAGTGTTTTCCACAAGATTTCACGAGCTCAATTGGTCTTAAAAGAAAGTGCCGCAAGATTGTTTTAACAGATGGAAGGGAAAGATCATGGGCATTGGATCTGAGGTTCAACAAATCATCTGATACTTTTTACATAACCCGAGGTTGGAAAACTTTCTGTGACGAAAACGGCAAAAAAGCAGGAGGTTTCTTTACCTTCAAACTAATGAAAAAGGGGGAAACACCTTTGCTCAGTTTCTGGCCTTCAGAATCTATCAATGATGGAACACAAGCAGATGAGAACAATCGTCAAGGATGTAGAGACTTAATTTCACCAAACCAGAACCGATTTGTGACTTTAACACTCACAAATGACAGCCTCAAAAGCAGTAGACTGGTGAGTTCATTAACTAAAAACTCTTGTTGGTTTTATCCCAAATCTAGTCTCTTAGAATTAAAAGTTCTTCATCCATATATTTTCAGTACCTTCCATTGCAATTTTTGAAAGAAAATGGCATGGACAAACCGGGGATGGTAACTCTGTTGGGAAACGATGGTACAAGGAGGCTGGCAAATCTTCTACGGGAAAGCTCAGGAAGAATGAGTTTGGGAAAGGGCTTGAAAGATTTTACTAAAGCAAACGGATTAAAGATGGGAGAATCCTTCACATTGGAGCTAATATGGGAAAATGCAACTCCTGTGCTCAGACTGCTCAGTGCGGAACTCAGAAGCCAGAACCGATTTGTGACATTAACACTTACACATGACAGTTTCAAAAACAGTAGACTGGTGAGTTCAGCAATCAACTCTTGTTCTAGAAGGTTAGTTAGTTGTATCACTTGCACTCTTATTGGTTATAATTCGAAACTTTTCCAGGGTCTTCCATTGCCATTCATGAGAGAGAATGGCATGAACCAACCTGGGACAATAGCTCTGTTGGGAAAAGATGGTACAAAGTGGATGGCAAATCTTTTACGAGAAAGCCAAGGAAGGATGAGTTTGGGAAAGGGCTGGAAAGATTTTGCTAGAGGAAACGGCTTAGAGATTGGTGAATCTTTCACGTTAGAGTCAATTTGGGAAGATGCAACTCCTATGCTCAGGTTGTCCGGTACAGTCTCCAAAAGTGATAGAAGGCTACAAGGAGAGCATTGTTGTGAAGCTAGCGAGAAAGAGTCTGTTATCAGAGAACTTAACGAGAGCAACATAGATGAGAGGAGTAATTCATCTTCACTAGTCCAAAACTGATTCGTGACATTAGCACTTGTAACTGAATATGTCAATGCGTGTACATTGGTAAGTTTATAAAAGAACTCTTATTTTAGAGGTGGGTTAGCTTCTATCTTGAATTCTAACCAACAACTAGCGGTGTTTGTTCAAATTTGTTGCAGGATCTTCCAAGTCAATGAATGAGAGCTTATGGTAACTCTGCTGAACAAAGATCAAATGGAGTGGTTTGCATATCTATTGTCAGAAGATGGAATCGTAGCTTTAGAAATTTCTGTGAGGCTAATGGCGTCAAGACAGGATTCATTTTATGAAGAAGAAGACTAAAACCTCGGTATTTCTAGACTAAACTTCAATACTTTTTTTGGTGCATTGTTTCATCTTGTTTATTATTCTGAAACTTAAGAACCGTTCATCGTAAATTCGGTTTTCATTGTAAATTCGACCAGTGTTCTTTTCTGTCACTTTTCAATATAAGTTGATTAGACATCTTCAACGAATTTATCAAACCAAATGGTATTGGAGGTTGAAAGCATTCATGGCCACTGCCACTACCTTCGGCTGGCAAAGACCTAAGCGAAGAGAAAGCAGATAGAAAATCATAACTAAACATAAAGGAAGATTTCAATACTTCAACTCATTATCCATAACCATGTAAAGTAAATTCCAAAGCACATATAGTTATAGAAACACAGTGGTAAATCTGAGTTGAAATGACTTTAAGGAAACATACTTTTTGCCGAGGCGATGGAAGCGTCGACAATGCGGAGCCATGCTCGACGCCAAGGACAATCAAAGCACATAAGAACAAGAATGCTTGTCAAGGCGGCCACATAAGTTGAAGCAGTACTAAAATAGAAGGCCACCATGTCAAGAGGAGCTTCATCGTCTTCTTCTCCTCCATTATTTGATTCCTCTGAGCTCTTCTTAGCCTCACAACTTTTATCCCTTGGTGATCCACAAAGAAGAGGATTTCCCAAGTAGGTGGTCTTGTCGAAGGTATTAAATTGCTTTCCTTGGGGAATGATTCCTGATAAATTGTTGTAAGATACGTCCAAGATAGCAAGAGCAGTAAGGCTGGTTAGTTGGTGAGGAATGCTTCCTTGTAACATGTTATGCGAAAGGTCAAGGCTCTCAATATTCTTTAGGTTGGAGAAGCTGGATGGTATTGAACTCGACAAGAAGTTGCGAGATAAATTCATGACTCGTAGTCTTAAGAGATCTCCAAGCTCTGCTGGGGATAGCCCCACTTAATTCATTGCTTGATAGATCCAACCCATACATATAAGCAAGTGTTCCTCCGCTGAACTCAGATGGTCCAAAATAAGAATCATACCTTTCTTTGTTGCAAATCTGATTTCAACTTCATGAAAATAAGAGAATTCTAGGTAGAGACTCTCTACCACAAATGTGGATCTGTAAAATTCCAACGCAATATCTCCTGATCTGCCTACACCCATACCTGAATTCTCTACTCCGTCTGGTCCAAATGATAAATTATATAGGCATGAAGGTATGGAGCCATTGAGCTTGTTATCTGAAAGATCTAAAAGACTGATTTGTTTCAAATCACAGAGCTGCCTTGGAATAGATCCTATTAGATTATTCCCTCTCAACAAAAGAATATATATGTCACTGGTATTGACAAACTGTGGGATACTCCCAGTGAGTTTATTCCACAAATCAAGTACCTGGACATTTTCCAACAATGTCTTCGGAATTGTCCCTTTGAAGTTGTTGTTCTGTAGAAACAACTGTCTATAGCTCCCACTAACATGTGACGGTAAGGCTCCAGAAAACAGATTTTCAGAGACGTCTATAAAGGAAAGAAAGGGCATGAGCAGCAAAAAGGGCGGTATGGCACCTTCTAAGAAATTGTTTGACATGGATAAGGTATCCAAACTAGAAAATTTAGATATCCAACTTGGAATACCACCCGTGAGAAAATTGTTGGACATGTCAAGAAGTGACAATGAAGTGTGGGAGCTAAACAAACCAACTCCGATCTTCCCTGTGAATAAGTTGCTATCCATTCTCAACTCTTCCAGTGAAGTGAAGCTTGTTCCTCTGGAAAGAAAACGGCCACTAAATTTGTTGTGAGAGAGCTTCAGGTTTTCTAGTGAAAAACAACCTGTGACAAAGCTTCTAGGTAGCTTCCCAGAGAAGTTATTATAAGATAAATCCAGAAATGTAATGTTTACCATCTCACCCATAGACGATGGAAAATTCCCTTGAAACCCATTATTTGACCCGTTCATTCGTACCAGATTTGGAAGCGCATGGCCGATATTATCAGGGAACAATCCATTAATATCATTCGCTGAAAAATCCAAGAACTGCAAATTATGCACTATTGTAGGCATCTGGAAGATAGTGAATGCATTATTCTGCAACTGTAAGACTTCAAGTTTTGAATTATTCACCAACAGCCAAGTAGGAATTTCTCCAGATAATCTGTTGTTGGATAGATCAACTAGACGCAAGTTCTTCTGATACAGGAGAAAGGAAGGGATTTCCTCCAAGCTGCAATCTCCTAGTACAGCAACAGTCAGTTGAAATTTTGGCTGCCAAATACTCTTTGTCTCGACTTGTACCATATCAGATGTTGATGAAAGTTTGAACACCTTAAGCTTTGTGAGGTTGGCGAGTGGATCGAGCGAGAATAAGCCCGTGAAATTGTTATCCAACAATGATAGATATTCGAGTCCCTCAAGGTTGTTGAAATTAGATGGTAGGTTTCCACTTAATTGGTTGGATGAGAAATCAAGAACCTGTAGCTTGTTCAAGCTACATAAACAAAGAGGAATATGGCCTACGAAACGATTTCCACTGACGTCGAGCTCCTGCAAGTTCTTCATTTCACAAACTACTGAAAAAAGACAGTTTCGAAAACAAGAAGATATTGAGAATAATATTATTCGTCTCAAAACTTCTTATCATAAAATGTTGTTACGCTGCTCATCTCCATATGCATAAAAGAAAGAGAAAAAGCAAGCTTGCCTTGCAATTCCATTATGCTAGAAAAACCATTGTAACTTAGATCCAGAGCTTTCAGCCTTTTAAGGTGAGTCAACCCTGCCCCAAGACAAAGAGACACAAAGCAAGACACCTCTAATTTAATATTGAAATGACATAAGCGGATAACCAATTCAATATGTTGGAGATGCTACCTAGCATGGAGCCGTTTAGTCTATTTCCAGCAAGGTCGAGCAGATTCAAGTTTGTCAAGTCTTTTATTTCTGAAAGATAGTCCGAGAGAAATATAATAATGATTAGAACTAAAAGAAAGAGGGAGAAAATTTTAGAAATTATTGCATATAAACCAAATAACCTAACCAAACATGCATCATTTAAAGTAGGTTACAAATGAAAAAAATACACACCTTCAAAAGGAAAAGTACCACTTAACATGAAGCTGCTCTGGAGAGAAAGAGTTTTAAGTGATGTAGCAGCATTAAGAAAGGGAATTATGCTGCTGTTTAAACTATTATATGAAAGATTCAGAATCTCCAGGTTTCTGAATTTCCTTAAGCTTTTATAACCTGCAAACAAAAATCTTGTTAACAGAGAATACAAAAAAAAAAAATATCCCACCCTGTTTTCTTCAATAATTTCAGTTATACCTTTTAGCAAAATGGAATTAAGATAGTTAAAACTGCATGGAACTTAAAAGAAAGCGAGACTGACCGTTAGATGTAATTTTGTGCTAGGCATCAGCCACATATAACTAATTATGCAGATGAAGGTACTACAACCTTTTGATACAGGGGAAAATCTAATTAACGTAGTGTCAAATAATTAGAAAATTTTGTTTCCAAATAGGGACCACAACGGTAGACTAGACTGTTGAAAAAGCTGGTAGATACCTTCAACATTATCAACAAAGCCTTTAAACCCTGATGATAAATCCAGACTTCGAACCTCTTCAAAGGGATGCAGTAAAGAAAGATCTAGGATAAGATTCTCGTTTAAGTTAAAAAATACTCCAAGGGAAAGCCCAATAACCCGCCGGCTTGTATGATTGCACATAATGCCCTTCCACCGGCAACAATCGCTCTTTGTGTCATTATCCCAAGTAGGGAGAACATAGTCTGGCGTTTGACTCTTTGACATAACATATTTCTTGAGCTCTAACAAAGCTTTCCTTTCTTTTTCAATGCAGCTTTTACATCCTTGCAGCTGCACCAACAGTAATGTTACCCATATCAAGTATTGGCCCAAGAAAAGCTTTCCTTCCATTGCAAATAAGGTTTTTTTTTTTTTTTTTTTTTTTTTTTTTGTTAAAGGAAGCAGATGAATTAAACTCCAAAGCAATTTGGGAGTGTACAAGTTCAATACAAATGCCTCCACGCGGTTATAAGAATTCAACACTATGTATTCGTATATCTAGAAAAGTCAAAAGTCATGTGGCAATCAAAATAGACCCACACAATTTTCTTATTGGATTTGTGCAATATTTTAGACGTTGAGTTTTTTTTTTTTTTTTTTTTTTTTTTTTTTAAATCATCGATTTTACAATTTTTTTTTCAATTTAATTTTAATTAAATATTATTTAATCAAATCTTTCAAGTGTGTGCGACTTGTATAATCTTGCAGTACAGCTTTTTTTTTTCTGAATTCATCCTTTTTTTTTGAGATAAAGTGAATACATCTTTTGTATACGAACGACTAAATATTGAGCGATCGGTATCGTTTACTTTGAATTGTATTACAAGATCATAAGTCAAGGTCTTCGTCTTCGTCCTTTAGACAAAACCATAATCGTTAGATACTAGATGATATTGTGAGGGAATATTTTATTATTAGAAAAAATCATATAGTTCTAGTTATATAGCATGTTTTAAAACTTAAATGTAAACCGGTTAATAATATTTTTACTATTAAAAATTTCTGATTATTCTGTACATGAATGTAATCGCAAATATGTAGATTGAGATAATTATGCAATTGCAAACAAATTTCTTGCAATTGCAGACAAATTTCTTGCAATTGTATTTCTGTAATAATGCAATTGCAAATAGATGGATCATAATTGGTTTCATAATCAACTTGTTAGGATGCAGTCCACATAGGATATATAAAAGAACTAACACTGATATATGGGATTTGGGTAAATTCACTATTTTCAATTAGTTTTAAGTTAGAAATCCAGAAAACATGGTGTTATATTTTTGTGACCCAAGTAGAATGACTCGAAAAAAGATATATTACCTTGGGCTGGCAAAGAAGAAGAGAAAGCAGATAGAGAATCATAACTAAACAGAAAGGAAGATTTCAACACTTCAACTCATTATCCATATAGTAGAGACTCTTATTAATAACCACGTAAAGTACATTCCAAAGCACATTTAGCTCTAGAAACACAGTGGTAAATCTGAGTTTAAATGACTTTAAATGATTATATAGGCATGAAGGTATGGAGCCATTGAGCTTGTTATCTGAAAGATCTAAAAGACTGAGTTTTTTTCAAATCACAAAGCTGTCTTGGAATAGATC